CCAAAGATCTTTACCTTATGTGAAATAGAGCAGTAAAAATAATATAATAAAATAATTCTCGTCATTAATAAGCTTACTTTTACATCGATATAGCATCTGTATGACCAATGCAATGAAAAGAAAGTGGACGTGTGACAATTTGAGTGCTTCAAAAAGTGTTATAACAAAAGAAAAAAAATTATGACAATACTTGGTGTTAGATATTATATCCATCTATAAAAAATTTATTACTCTACTAAACGGTGTGTTAAATTTTATGTATACCTCCATTGACCTCAATGTATTAAAAAAATTTTATAATTTTATACTTTGTACACTAGTGGGCCAAGATGTTACTTTTTCCACTAGAACGAAAAACCCAAAATTTGTACACTAGTGACTAATGATGGTACTTTTTCCGCTAGTATAGGAAAAAAGGGCGGAGCCAGTATGGCGACTAGAAATTCAAAAAGTTGAGTTAATTTCTTGAAAATTACTACTTGGGAGTACTACTGATTATGAATCTAAAGTTTATTTTTGAAAAATTCAAAATGGCGATACATTTTTCATTGAATAAATGGTTTTAAATGTTATACTAAACGTTCTACCGGTGCGGTTAGTTTTAAATCTATTTGTAAAGAATTTGATTTTTTTGTAGTGTCAGCACGTGTTGCTTATATGACACTCAACACGTGTTATCATGTGTGAAGCTCAATAGCTTGAATATGAAGATAAGTTTCAACGCCTTCGCCACGTGTCTTGCACGCACCCTTTGCAAACAAAGATGTTGTGAAATTGATCGTGTGTAGCTAACTTCGTGGTCTCAGTGCACGTGCGCTATTTTATCATATATTGACAAGTGGTCATAGTATAATAATTGAACTATCATACAGTATCATTATTACTCAATTTTCCGCATAGGCCTTAATTTAACACGTGATCTGATTTCATATGACACGCAAAATCCATCAATATTTGCATAAAGATTTTTTTTAACTCCATATTATAAAGCCAACATATCCATTTCATGGGAATTGGAGTATTCTCATACTCTTTAAACTTAAATTAGTTAAAAATAACTCAGGTAAAAAGTCAGTCACTGATTCAAAACAGAACGAAAATCATTACTTATTATTATTTTTAATTATTAATTATTGTTAATAATAATAATTTTATGAACTTTTTATCTAGCAAGAAAATTAAAAGAGATGAAGAAATACTACCTAAACTATTTGAAATAAATGTTAAAATCTCTGTATGTGAGATTTATTCTCATATATACGCTCCAATTGATAAATTGCTTCTTACATTTAAAACTAAAAAGCGGGATCCAAATAAATTTTAAGAATTAGGAATATAAACTCAACTTTGAGGAAAATAAATTTTGGGAGCTTTTCATAAATTTCATGTGAATGAGGTTGAAATTCGAGATGAGAGGTTGAAATTTAAAAAAAGGGGGTCAAAAGCGCGAAAATCCTTCCCCTCGTTCTATATGTTATATATTGCTTTGACCAACATCTCCGACCAGGCGCACGATCCTTATTTCAAAGGAGCCGCTTTTCTCGTAGAAGATTCAAACGCCCGTAAAAGAATAAGGGCACACGCTCCACTCAAGAAAAAAAAATGTTTGGGTGGTCAAGGCTGTGATCCCATTTCTTTACAAAATATATAAGAACCAATGTATCAAGTTAAATAAGCTATGCTTTATAGTTATTTTATATACATATATATAAATAGATACGCGCGAGAAATTTTCACATTGGGTGGTATAACTTCATTAGAATGTTCTAATTGAAAACAAAATTCAATGACTTTTTTTCTTAGGGATTTTCGTATCATTCATTTCCAAACAAATCCTCTGTCATGATTTCTTATATTTCTATCATCTAATGCTATTGAATTTCTTTCAGTGACAGTAAAATAGTTTTCATATTCTTGAAATTTGAAATTCATGATGATCTTAATTTTTTCCATTCAACTATTTTCAATTTTTACAATGTTACATATTTTTCAAATTTGAAAGCATTTTTTATTGTTCTAAATTTTTCTCAAAAAACTGCAATTGATAATATTATTTATGTTTTATTATATTTACAAATTATTTTAATATTATTAATATAAATACTGTAATATAGCGAGTTAGGTGTTATTTTTTTATTTTTTACTAAAATAAGAAGTCAAGTTTAAAAATTAATCCTACCTATAATTCGTAGGTTAGTCAAGCGACCATAGCGTGTCGGGTAACATAACAGTTATTGCCCCAACGAACAGTGCAATTGTTATGAAATAATAATATAGTCAAGTCCAAACGAAAGGGGGTGGTTCGTCGCTTGCCTTCTACTCTTAGGGTTTGAAACGATCACAATCAATGCCAAAAGCAGTCTATGTGACACGTCATAGTGTTCTAACATTTCCAATGGTGCTCAATTTTCATTAGCCTTTATTCTGATTGTTAAAAATTCTAATTCATATTGATTTTAATCATTTTGACGCGTTTTAATGAAGATTTAATTTATTTTCCCCGAAACACTTAATGTTATTATATGTAATATAATAACTAAAAGAGTACGTTAGTCCTTGTCTCGGTTTGTCAGACCGAGACAAGGACTAACGTACTTTTTTGCACCTAACAGTTCAAAAGAATTTACAATTTCAAGAAAAGAAGACTGATAATAATAAAACTAACTGGGAGATTAAAACAACACAGAAAAAAAATATATTTACTTGTCCAAATGAGATCTACTTTTGTCAATAATGTCCTAGTCAATAACTGAGTTAACGTTGACCCTCTCTAATATACGTATGACCAGAAAGAACCCTGTGGTTTTTACAGGTTCTTTAGCCGCCCCCCCTTTTTTTGAGTAAATCTTGTTTCCAACCCTCTGAGACTTAAGATCAACTTGATCAGATGCCGACGAGTATATCAATGTATAGTAAGAACCACTGCACATATACATACAAATATCCAGTACATATGTATATACTGAGTACATGTATACCAAATATGGACAGATGGCGTGTGTACTAACCCCAGCCCCCCTCCCTGAACATTCGTTCAAAGTGTATTTCTCTAATACTACTTTAGAATTTACTGTACATATATAGGGGACTTTGTAAATTAGTTATATGTACTGGTGAGTGGGGCAAGTAGTCAAACACATACACAGAGAAACTAAACAATAGTTAAATCAGGGTGCCAGTCGTCTGAGGGGTTCTGTGGGTGTTTAATGAGCTGCCAGAGAGCAGTATAACGGGGACATATAAAAATCTGTATGGGGCACGAGCCACGCACGTTGTAACACCGCATGTAAAGTGCAAAAATGACAATATACATATATACACTTTTTTTTGCAGCACACGTTTATCACTTAAATTTGACTCACGAGAAATATCTTGATTCCTATATCTTCTATATTTAACGTCACAGTTCATTAATTATTAACCCTCTGAATCACTGAAGCGAATCATATATCTTGACACAAACAGGTGGAAAGCCTTTTTAAATATCAGGTAAACAAAATCAAAAATTATAGCAGTTCTGTGCTAGAAATAAAACCAAACTTTAATCACATATGTAAAAGTATGGCTTAAAATTCAGGTTTTAAAAAGACCCCTATTGCGATCAAATCATTGATTTAAGTCTTATTGTGAAGCATTCCTATTACCTACAGACACATAATACATTTCGCTTTTTATTCGACTCACTTTTTGGGGTCCTACAGCTTATCAACGGATTACATATATACTCAACATCATTTGATCACAAATCTATAGACGTAAATGTTTTGTTATTTATTATCAAGTAAACCAAACTTACAGTATAGATTTGTCCAAACTTTTCCTTCACATTTTTAATATTTTAATGAAATGAAAATTATCAGAAATTATTATTCAGAAGTTTGTCTGATTTTTTTATATATTAAAAAAATAGAGATTGAATAAAAAATCATCTTCGGGGATATGCAGTTTAAATTACACAAAAAATTTTTTTACCTGAAAATACTGTACAGTGTTTAGTATTTTTGACGTTTAGGGAATCATCTCTCAATTGGCATAAAATAGTATCAATTTTATAGCCGTAGGACATGAAAGTACACACACTCTTTAAATATTTGCTACACGTGAAATGCCCTAAGCAAAGTATATTGAGAGGGGTTTCTGACATAGAAGAACGTGCTTGAATAAATCAAATTAAACAATTTTTTTCCATCCGTAATTTTTGAATCCCTAAAAATCCTTATAACCTACTTTCAATATTAGAGAACTTAAACAACAAATAAACGATTTTTAGGCAAGTTGATCAAACTGTTGCAAAGAATTTGGATCGATTTCTATAGATGTAAAACTTGAATATAAATTCAATAATAAAAAAAAGATCCCCTTTTGGATCCAATTCTGCTCTACTCTCTTTAAAAACATCATACAGAGATAACGAATCTCTAAAGTGCATGAATTTCAATCAACAAGGGAGTTCTTTTTTATATATTGGAAAGAAAAAATTGATATATCAAAAGAATAATTTAGATTGCTAAAAAAAATCTTTCATCCATTTTTTTCTAATGTGGAATAAGTCGTTCTAATGACGAATTCTATTATTCAAATAAGTATAGAAATTCGTAAAGAAAACAACAACTTATAGGGATTGAAAGTACTTGTAACGTATATCAATTTGAAAAATTATATACACATTACATATACATATTGATGATCATTTTTCCACTAGAAGAAAAAACTGCTACTTTTCGTACTAGTGTACAATAACATGGCTTTTTCACTAATCGAAAAAGAAGAAATTTTTTCAACTAGTGGGAAAAACGGTGGATCTAATATATGACGGACAAAAATTTAAAAAGTTGAGTTACAGCTACATAAAACTATTTGAAACAGAAAAGGTTAAAAAAAGGAACTCGCCGATCGGTAAATTTCACGTTGGGGTAATGTTTACATCGAAAACTTCAGGACCATTTCCGAACCTCGCATTTTTGCACTTCTACGCAGATCAGGAAGACAACTATTCTTACTTTTGAAAAGTGCTGGGACCGCTTTTCTTCGTCCATACATCCTTCCTTATTCTTGCACTGAAACATAAAAAATTAAATTATACTATTAAATTTCTAATCACTATATTTATTTTCAATTTTAAACGAAACTAGCTAGATTTAACTAGATTTAAGTTCATTAGAAAATTTTGTAGCATTCTAAACATGCACATATGAATATAACATGTTTTATTGAAAGAAAAGAAGAAACAATATATGAAACATTAAAATCTATTGTATATCACATTGAAGAGGAGAAATGGATAAAGGACTATTACTACTACTACCACCACCAGGTGAAGCAATCGAACCGAAAAACGCCTTTTGACGTTAACGCCATGGCCTCTTGTGTGCGTGTTCCATAAATGCAGCCGGCAACAATGGCTCTTCGATTCTTATCTCTTGCATTAGTTCCTGGTTACCGGGGACGTTTTGCCATTATGTTTGCACTTGAACCATCACTCCATTGTCTCATTTATCTGATAGGACTCAAGTGCTTCGTGTAACGAATTCGTATATGTATATATATATATGAATTGTATAGCACTCAGAACCCAATTACATTTATGCTGGCTGAGTCCTATATATCGTTCACCACATCATCCCTTTTTTCGTCATTTTTATATATGTGATCCACAATCAAGATTAAATAGTCTAATTTATTAAAAATTCAAATTCTACACAAGTATCCCTGTGTCTCCGAAAAGAAATTTCGACTCAATGATATTCCAACTTTCGGTTGCGATAATAAAATTCGACATTATACGAAATTAAGTAAAATTAAAATTTTGTTGGATTTTTTAGGAAACAAAAAATCAGCTTTAATCCTTTTTTAAATAAAATATTCTTTACCTTTATAATTTTTAAAAATAAATCTGTACGGTGTTAAATATTTTTAAAGAATCATTGTTATTAAATATAAAGGTAAATGATAACAAAAGCAATTCATCTTGAATCGAAACCTCATTCCAATTCCCCATATATACTAATGCAATAACTAAGGGATCTTTTGTTCGTGGTTCGCGAGAATCCATTCTCCCATTTCCCAAGAGAATTTTCGCATATTATGCTAACCCCTCTCCTATACTTAGCACGATCGTTATCTCAATTTTAAGAGATACTATTATTACTATTGATCAAAAATTTAAACAAATAAAAAAAAGTTAATCGTTTATAATGTCGTTGACAATATTCTTCTTTATAATTGTTATATCATTTGTTTCAAAATAATGTACAACATTATACATCAAATGTGAATGGAAAAAAATGAAATAGAAACTAAAATCGAGATAGAAACAACAACACAGATGTTGGCTACTTGAAAATTAAGTGGACCGTCCAACTATATACTTATAAAGACTCGAATCTAAAAGTAAAACAGTTGCCGCTTGAGATGAAATAATACTGACAAAAAGTGCACGCGTCATTGCTTTTATATGGACTACTATAGGGTGACCCAATGTCCATAGAGGGAAAAGTACATAAATAAACAGAGATATTTATTTCTATCAGGTACTTTGATTCCAATTTGTACTTAATTTTCGTTACTATTCAATATTAATAAATAGAAACAAATTGTTTTTTAACAGCGATCGACTCTACTAGTAAGAAAAACCAATAATTTACACTAGTGGATAATGAGAGTACTTTTCCCACTAGTAGAAAAAACCACCAATTTTCGTACTAGTGATCAATAACATTACTTTTCCATTAGCAGGAAAAAGTAACACTTTGTACACTAGTGGGCAACGGTGGTACTTTTTTCACTAGTAGGAAAAACGGCATTATTCGCACTATTATGAAGTGTATTATTTATGTTTTTAATATTAAAAACATGTATAAGCATATGTGTATACGTTAAGAAATACTGGTCCTCTATTTGAAAACAAAACGCAATTGAAAATGAGGCTGCTCCAAATATATATACGAATTTTTATCCCCTATTTATCGTCCCTCTTCCTCGCACATTGACATCAATGAACTTTTTTTTCCTTTTCCTATATATCTAGAGCACCTGCTCTGAAATTTGTCCCCTAAAAAGTCTATACAGATGAACGCGCTTAAAGAATAAATGCACTGAGACTAGACATTTTTAATCTTCTCTCTCTAATATATATAAACAAGGCAGTAGAGTGAACTGCAATGAAAATTCGCCTACACTTAATTGTGCTGACACATTTCGCATGAGATTAAACATTTTCATTGAAGTTCATTAGAAATTCATAATTCATTAAATACATATGGGCAGATCTCATTTATATGTTAATATTTCTAAATTTTCCCAACCGTCTAAATTTAATTTCAAATTATATTTTATATAATAATAAGGAATTTTACTTCATTTACAAATAATAAGAAGCCAAAAATTGTGACAAATGTCGATTAAGCTTAAGTCACATTCTCATGTGTATAGAAATACTAAAATGAAAAATTCATCGAACCACAAATCGACCTCATTATTTTTGAAGCAATAAGATGACATTAAATTAGACTCACAGATTAAACTTTTTTTATCTCTCGCCTAAACACTTGGCCTTCTTCAAACTGTCACGGTTTTAAAGGATTACACGTCGATTACAAGGCTTAATTTTAAATGGTTTCAATGCTCTCCATTGGTAGAAGGCAACCCTTCTTGTGGGTTGGTCCATGGTTTTACAATCAGTCATCCATGCTATGACACAGAGAAGGGTTTGCTGGTTCATTTCAAAAAGCGGATTACGCTCTTCTTTTTTTCACTTTGCCCGTTATAGCGTAATATTTTATATGTATAATGTACCACGGTATATGGGATACAGAATTTTCTCCGATTGATCATGGGTCGCTTTTTTGTAGAGAAATCTCTTCCGGTTGTAAGTAACAATGGTAGAAGAAAATTATATTTCTGCGGACTAATGATGCGACTCTCCTCCCTATTTTCTCGACTATTTCTTTTTTTCTGACAACTGCAAACAAAGTGTGTGGTTTCATGTATTTTCCACTATATTTTCTTTCATCTATTAAACTATAATCTTGTCTGTCATTGTTTACAATAAAACTCGGATCCCTTTGCAACCGTTACTTGGGGGGAGTGTCAATTTATTCAACAAAAAAAGCAGGTTCGGTTTTTTTCAAAATCATCCAAAGTATAACAGTAAAAATATTTAGGAAACATTTTTTCAAAATGATGAAGGCTTTTTTTGCAATTCTTCAGAAATATCTAAGAAATATTAACATGGCATTTTTATAATTAATGTCAAATTATGCTCTAATCAACAAACTTAATGAATATTCTATTCAATTAAAGTACAATCACGTGTGCAATCTTCCAGTACTTTGATCTCAGATTTGAATTTTAATCACGCCTCACTTATTCCAGCTGTCGTCGTTGTAGTAGTATACAAAAATTACATTTTTTTCACCAATTCTGGAATTACAGGGTGGCTTTGACAACAAGGATTATTCACACCCTGATTTTTACATTCTTTTATGTGATAGATATCGCAATGGAAAATTTACTGCCTGCCTTATTTTCATCCCTCCGAACAAGGAATATAGTTTTTTTTCTAATCAAAATTTCTCTTATGTATTATCTTTAGAAATATATGACGCAAATTAATGACAATTAATAAGTACTTTTTGTTCTACAATTTTTCTGAAAAATTTAATTATCTGAACAGGAAGTTAAATTAGCTATATAGACTAGGTGCCCGAGAATGAAAAGAAAAATAAGACCTATATATAGGTATACTTTGGTTTATAGTACTTGGAGCCTTCGAAGGTCCTTCTAAACCAAGTTCTGCAAAGGTACCCCCATCCTTCTTTTTTTTTTAGAATGAATGATGATGTATGGATGTTGGCTGGGTGCTAGGGGCTCGGTAAAGGGTTCCATTGTTGCATATACCCCCTCGGAGAAAACAGCTCTCTCTCTCTCTCTTTCTCTCACCCCGCAGGGGAGAGACCATCGTGAAATATTGCTATCGAGCAGGCATACTGCATTCTGCAGCCTGTATACTGTTAATTTTATGCCCGATTTTTTACCAGTCTCTCTTCCCCTACTACAATCTCAAAGAGGATCCCTTCATCGGGCCATCAAAACTTACTGTAAAGTCCTTAACAACCATTATAAGCGCTTTTGAATAAAATTTCCTAAATTTCATTTTATTGACTCGTTCATAGTTCAATTTCCGTTAAAGTAAATTAATTTTTCTTTAACATTCCACTGTTGCTGATCTATCGACATTAATTTTTGTAGAAGAAAATTTTTGCACTAACCACAAATTTAACGAAAATAGCAACTATTGATTAAAAAAATGGTATAAAAAAAATAAAAAGAAGTGTTGAATTTTATACTAATAGGTTTACAGAAATTTGATATTAGTAACCCGATGGGTTTGTATGCAAATCTGATCGGTCACGGTTTTAAAAATTCGTCCCGGCCCTTTTCGTTATATCCCGCAACAATGCACAACTCTCGGTCAACAATAGGTAATAATAAACCATGATCAATATACAAGCAAATATGACAAATAAAAGAAGTAAAAAGTAGTTAGCCAGGTGCACAATTCTGATTCTTAAACAAATACAGAATAAGCAAATAGTGAAATAAAAAAAACTGTTTATATTTGCTCTTAATTATTTGCAATCGACTCTCTCTCCCTCAAACAACTTGCTAAAGGCGCTTGTTTAAATATTTAATAGACTATATTTTAATTTGACAATTTTAAGATTTAAATTTGAAAACTATGATAAATAAAAATCTTTTCACAAATATCGCGCTATTTTCAATGAGCAATTGCATTGTGATATAACGGATGGGGTTCGTTAAATACAAAAATGGTCCACAGAGACAGATTGAAGGGCGTTTTGAAATAAATCAGTCTTTTGTTTTATATAGAACACACCCCAACTGAAAGCGACATCAAGCATTGTGTAAAATATTATATAAATAAAATCTAATAACAAACTTTTAATTATCATTTAACATTTATAAGGAAAAATAATTGTCAAATCCATATTATAATAATGTCCAATATCCTCCAACCTACAGTGGACCAAAGAAAACAGAAACAGAAAATGTTTAAAAAAAAAGAACTCACCATAAATCGATGAATCCCACGTCGGGATAATGTTTATATCGAAGCTTCTGAATCATTTTCAGAAATTTTTCTTGCACTACAACACTCATCAAAAACAACTATCCAATTGTACATTAAAAAAATGCTGGGACCTATTTTCTTTGTTTAAATCTTTCCTTATCCATCAGGCAGTTCTTTCGGTCATGCACTGAAACAAAAAATTAATTATACAATTATTTTTTAAATCACTATGTTAGTTATTATTTTTAAACGAAAAAGTAACAGAAAAATGGATTTTCACATAATGTGTATTAAATAAAATCTATGAACTATTAATTACTTTATTATTACAACAAAAAGTTTATCGTCAATTCGTAAAATTAGTGTTGATGTATGCAGAATCTTTGTCCTTTGACTTTTAGCCTCAAAGATAAGCATTCAGTCACTTTTATGTCGTGGTCATTTAACTTTCTGTTTATATTAAGAATTAATTCTTAAGTGTAGCATATATGTATTAAAAACAAAAAAATAAAATAAAAGAATAATAAATTAATTTAACAATTTTTAGCATAAAAATTTGTATAAATATGTCAATATATATTGACAATTGACAATATATTGTCAACCTTTAATGTAAAAGCAGGAAGAAGAAATATGTTTACTAGTATAATAAAATTGCGCGGGCGCAAGTCAATATTATAAGATGTTGCCTGGCGACAAAAGCAAAATTGCTATTCAAAGGGTTCAATCTCATTTATCTAGGATCCTCTTCTTCAGATGTTGTTTAGAATTTAATGAACAAGTATCGCTCAAACTAACAAGTGCGTTTTTCTTTATAGAATATTTCCATACAAAATTAAACACCGTACACTGTTTTAACTTCATTAAAAAAAAAATAAATAAAATTTTAACAACAAAATTATTATTTTCTTTTATTAACTATAAAAAATGTGGAAAAGAAAAAAAAGTGACACGAACTGTCAAAATGAAGAAAACGACAATAAAAATAAAAAACAATACGAATTAAAAATTTCAACTTCCAAAATTTGCCTGAGGCAAAATTTTCAGAGAAATTTTGAAAATTTTACTGGTTTTCAAATAGATGAACTTACAACATTTAAAAAATTCGTCAAGTTACTTTATCGACCAACTGATCCTTCAAGTTTAGGAGTAACACGAGCACTTTTTGGTAAAATTACATAAATACATATTTTTATAAGTGCTTTCTAAATCCTTAATTGATGCCACAATTTTCAGTTCACCTAATTTTCATTTGTCCGAATTTTATTTGACCGAAGGAACATAACCAACAAAAAGATTTCGGCGCGAGTTTTAAAATTAACCAATCAAATTTTTGTTTTCTAATTCATTATTAGAGTAAAAATCTAATATCCAAAAACATTAATTGCTAATTTAAATTAAGTTACAATTTTTACAATTCTGATTTAAAGCATTTAGTATAATAAATTATTAAATTCAATTTAAATGGACGAAAAAAATCCTGACTTAACAGGACTCTGCATGGTGATTGATATTGTTCACGAAAGGGGATTATCTAATATAGACAAAAAATGGGGTGATTCTAAAATTTGTCGATTTCCCCTAATTCATGGAATGGAATCACCAACTCTTCCATGGATGACAATTATTTATACAATAATGTGGTTAGGTGCTTTTGGAATTATGCTTGGATATTATTTCAAAATTGCCTGCTTTTGTTTTGTTCTACCCTATTGGTACATATTTTTATTAGACAAAACATTTTGGAATAATCACAGCTATTTATATGGTATTGTTGCTATTCTCTATTGGGGAACAGGTGCAAACAAATATTTGTAAGTTCCAAAAAAACTATATTTTCTTCATATATACACGGAAAAAAATTTATTTGATTCAAATAATCGATTACTGGACTATTATATCAAATAAATTTTTATTCAGCATAGAAAAAGAACATAATAATTAATTCTAACATTAGTTCCATAGATTCATTAATGAATAAGAATAATGATGGAAAAATACCACTTTGGAATTATTTTATTTTACGATTTCAATTTTTTCTTTTATATTTTTTGGCTGGTTTGAAAAAAACTGATAGAGATTGGTTAAGTGGATATTCAGTGGTCAGTTTATCAGGACATTGGGTATTTTTTCCATTTACGTAAGTTAATATTATACTATGAAGAATAATGTAAAAATTGTAAATTTGAAAAATTTGAAAAACTATTTTTTTTATTTTAGAATAATATTAACAGCAGAACAAACTAATCATTTTATTGTACACTTATTTGGATTTATTTTTGATTTAACAATTGGATTTTGGATGATGTTTGACAAAACACGTTTGCCAGCCATGTTAGTTTGTACTGCTTTTCATCTGATGAATACAAGACTTTTTGCTATTGGTATGAAAAATAAAAAACTTAAATAAAAAATCCAAAAAAGAATAATTGTAAATAAAACTTTTTAAAAATGATTTTTAGGAATGTTTCCATACACATGTCTAGCAACAATGCCACTATTCTGTCATGTTGATTGGCCAAGAAAATTTGAAAATTTTACCATTATTTCTAAAATATATTCTCATCTTAAAAAGTGGAAATTCAATGTTAAATTACTTTTTAAAAAAATGTTTTTCGCCTCTGCAAAAGATAATCAAAGGAAAAATGACGATAATGATGAAAATCATGATACAAGTGATAAAATTTTGCAACAAGATAACTATGTAGCAAAAAATGAAATTCAAAATTTGAAAATAATCAATAAACCAAGGGAAGAAAATTTTGATGACTATTCAAATGAAACAATTAATTTTAAATTACCACTCAATAAAGATTGTTTAAATCAACAAGAAAGGAAAAAGAAAAGTGAACTTGTTCGTTCCAAAAGTTTTTATGAAAATAAGAACGAAAATGTTTCAAAGAAAAAAAAATTTGTTATTTTTCTACTAATTTTTCACATTGGATTACAGTGTTTTTTACCATACTCTCATTTCATTACACAAGTAATTGATTTATTTATTATTATATTAGAATCAATGTGAATCATAAATAATAAATGAAATGAATTAATTTTTTTTAATTATTAGGGATATAATAATTGGGTTCCTGGTTTATATGGATATTCATGGAACATGATGGTCAATTATTGGGACGCTATAGCTGTTATAGTACAAGTACATGATAATGTGAATAATGAAGACTATTTTATAAATCCCGATGCTTATGTTATAAATAATAGATGGTGGCGACATGGGGACATGGTAAAGCAATATGCACATTGTTTAAAGGTATATTATAATAAAAAAAAAGGTATACCATTGAAAACAAATTCGAGATACTATTTCCACAAGAAGAAACCGACACTTTGTGCACTAGTGGACAACGAAGATACATTTTTTACTTGTAAAAAAGCTGTTACTTTTCACACTAGTGGATAATAACATCGCTTTTTCTACTAATAAGAAAAAACGATGCTTTTCACACTAGTGGGAGATAACAGCCCTTTTACCACTAGAGGGGAAAGGCAATACTTTTTGATTAGTAGGAAAAATTAACACACATTTGAGTTGAAAAATATAATAATAAAATTTTCAGGACAATCTAATGAAAGAAAAACAAGTGACCCTGTCATCTAATATAAGCATTTATGTGGATGTATGGTGTTCTCTAAATGGTAGATTTCAACAGAGAATGTTTAAACCAAATGTTGATATATTGACTGCAGAATGGCATCCATTGAAACCTGTTTCATTTTTAGTTCCTTTATTGACAAAATTTAATCTTCATCGGTAATGTAATTTAAATATTATCAAAGTAAAATTTTTGCAGAAAAATTTATCTAAATCAACCAAACACCTGATTCTTTTCAAACCTATAATCAATCAATCAAAAATTTAATTCAAATATATTTTTTTTGGTTAATTTATTATTTATGGAAAAAAGAATAAAAAGATTAAATTTTCATTTTTTAGATATAATTTAGAGGAAATTGAAAAACAAGTTTACACGTGGTCAAATTATTCTGACGTTTATTTTGTCGCCGACTATTCAGGAATGAAAAAATTAAATTTTGTCGATAAAGAATTGACAAATGTCACATTGCATGTAATAGAGGGAGAAATATCATACATTGAAGAGGGAGAAAAGGAGAAAGTAATAATTCCAAAAGGAGATCATTTTCATGTTACAAGTCAAGTATTTCATCAAGTCGAGGTCATTAGTTCAGAACCAGCATGTTATATGTACACATTTTTAAATAAAACTAGCGAAAATTTTTATCGAAATAATAGGTAAGTGTTTCTGTATTTTTCAAAAATTATTTCATATTTTCACTGTTATAATTTTTTTTTCAGAATAAATAAATTATCCGAAACTTATTCTAGTCCACCGACATTTAAAACTTTCATTTATGAAGTGAAGGACAATTTTAAAGCATGGATAAGAGCTATCAAGCATATAAAAAGTGCATTTTTTAATATTATTTTCTCTAATTCGTCACTTTATGATTGTAGTATAAAAAATAATTTATAAATTTTTATCAAGAATTTCCTTAATTTTTGGTGTATTAAAAAAAGTGGTTAAATTTTTTTTGCAAAAAATTCAATTTAAAAGTAAATTAAATTATACATACATTTCATGCTACAGAATTTATATCATAATTTATAAATTGTAACACATCTTTTTAGCAAGATCATTAATTCACTGAGATAAATTTCTCATTGTAAAAATAGTGTATTTATAGTTAGATTAATGAGAGCGAATTCCATATAGGTGTCTTGTAAGATTAGTCACAATCTTCAGACTTCGGAACTATCAGTTTTAATTTAAAAATAAAAAGCATTTTATCAAACCCTATATACTCTCGTTAATATTCATCAGTCGCTTATGAAATACGTTTCGCAATTTTCAAATAATTTATATAATTTGGATTTTATAAAAAATGGAACCTATAGCATCTTTGAGTGTAGAATTAATAATTATTGCCGTGACACTAATTAGTATATTATATTTATTTATAATGAGACCTTATGATTATTGGACAAAAAGGGGTGTAATGCAAATAAAACCTGTGCCATTTTTTGGAAATTTTATAAAACCTTTTTTTATGAAACAAGCATCTGGTTATTGGCTTAAGGAATTTTATGAAAAAAGTGATGGTTTACCGTATATGGGTGTTTATGTTTTAAATCAACCTGGTTTAATGATACGTGATCCAATACTTATAAAACAAATTCTATTGAAAGATTTCAATAATTTTGCTGATAAATTTATGGAAGCTGGAAGGGGCGATCATTTGGGAAATGCAAATTTATTTATAGTTAAAAATCCCCAATGGAAAATACTTCGTACAAAAATATCACCTGTTTTTACATCGGGAAAATTGAGAAATATGTTTGAATTAATGACAAAAGTAGGAGAAAATCTTGATACATACATGGAATCACTTAGTCTTCACGGTGAGATATTTTTCAATTAAAAAAAGAAATAAAAGAAAAAAATTACACACTAATAAATTTATAATATAGGTTCAGGAAACAAAGTAGAAATGAAAGAACTTTGTGCAAAATTTACAACAGATCTAATAGGAACCACTGCTTATGGTTTAGAAGTGAACAGTCTAAATAATCCAAATGCAGAATTTCGTAAATTTGGAAAAAAAATTTTCACCTACGATCTGTTTAGAACAATGGAATTAAATTTTATATTTATTGTACCACAATTGGCGAAATTATTTAATCTTAAATTCTTTAGAGGCGATAGTGGTGCATTTTTAAAGCAAGTTTTCACTGAAACTTTAAATGAACGTGAAAAATCTGGTGCTAAAAGAAAAGATTTAATTGATTTACTCATTGAATTAAAAAATAAATATGCAGGCGAAGAAGATTCTAGTGGAATAAGTTAGTTTATATATTCGTTTATTTATTGTTGTTATAAAAATTTTTGAAGAAATAAAAAAAAAAATTTATTTACGCAGAATTTGAAGGCGATATTTTATGTGGACAGGCAGCTATCTTTTTCACTGGTGGCTATGAAACATCATCAACAACAATGTCATATGCTTTTTATGAATTAGCTAAACAACCGGAAATTCAAGAGAAATTAAGATTTGAAATAAAAAATGCTCTTGAACAAAATAATGGAAAAATAACACAAGATTTGGTACAATATGAATTTTCGTAAAGAATTTATCAGAATCATCTGAACAAAAATAATTTACAAGAAATATAATGCTTCTGTGCCAGAAAAATAATTTTTACAAATCCTAAAATTTTTCCAAAGTTTCTAATAACAATGAAAATTAAAAATAATAATTAAAAATTATATTCATTCATTTTTCAAAATTTTCGGATTTGATTTGAGATGGTCTGATAAAATTTTTTTTTACAGATAAATGGCCTTCAATATTTGGACATGGTGGTTTCAGAAACATTAAGAATGTATCCAATTTTACCAATTCTTGATAGAAAAACAATGAATGATTATAAAATTCCAGGGACAAATTTAATCATTGAAAAAGGTATACCAGTATTTATTCCATTATTGGGATTACACTATGATCAAAAATATTTTCCAAAACCACAATTATTCGATCCTGACCGTTTTTCGGAAGAAAATAGAAATTCGAGAACTAATTATGTTTACATGCCATTTGGAGAGGGACCACGTAATTGTATTGGTAATTTATATATTATAATTTTGTAAAATTTATATTAAAATTTTAAGTAAAACAAATATAGATTTTCTAAAAATAATTTTAATGCAGGAATGCGTCTTGGATTATTGCAAACAAAATTGGGATTAATTCACATTATATCACAATATGAATTGACAACTTGTGATGAAACTAAGGCGGAAATTGATCCAAGAGCATATTTAACAACTGTGAAAGGCGGCATTGTCTTGAATTTACGGAAAATCGATTAATTTTTTTTTATTTATCTATTTATAAATATTTTTAAGTTTCAAACAATTTTTTTTTATAAATTTTAATTGTGTACATCATCGATGTAATTATAAACATAATATTTTATTTCAAGTTTTTACTTTATCTTTATTGATTTTTTAATGAAAATAAAATATGTATGTAAATAAATAAAATCTACAATAATAATTTTTCTAAAGTCAATTAAAATTGTTTTTTCAAAGGTCTTAAAATCACCCACAAACTACTATCAACAGCAGTGAAAAAACTCGTTGGATCTTGTTTAAGAGGAAAACGCGTTTTTGATGATAATTCCAAAGAAAAATTCTTTAAAACTCCAATCATTCCCATTTTTATTGACATCATTGCCAGCCGCCTTCCTAAACACATTCTTGGTCCTTCACCAAAGGGAAGAAAAACAAATTTATGTCGGTCTTTTTTATTCGTCTCACTAAATCTATCAGGATCAAATTTTTCCGGTTCATGCCAATAACTTGGATCCTTATGTAATCCATGAATAGATAAAATAATTATATTTCCAGGTTCAAGTTGACAATTAACACCATCAAATCCCTCGAGTTTTATTTTCGATGTACAAATTTTCATTAATGTTCCCAATGCTGAATTTAATCTCATTGATTCAAAAATTGTTTGCTCCAAATAAATTAATTCACTTAAATTTTCATAATTCCAATTATCATTTATTTTCACACTAAGTGAATTAATTTCTTCTCTTACTTTTTCTTGAACATCGCGATGCATTGCTAATTGAAATGCCAAAAAATTCAATGTTGTATTTGTTGTCTCGTGTGCATCCAAAATAAATGACAACATATAAGATGATAAATTATTCAAATTTAATTCATCTTTCTCATTTTCCAAAATAATATGTAAAAAATCATTTCTTGAAATATCTTCATTTTTTGTTCTCTCTATTATTTCCCTCACTGAATCATGGATAAAATAGTTCATTTTTTTAGAAACAATTCCTAATTTGAAAAATTTTGCAACATTTGGTAAATAGAAAATTAAAATTTGTGCAAAACCACCCATAATTGCTGAATTTTCAAAAATTGATGAGACAATTTTACCAAATGTTTTTGAATTTTCTTGAAAACAATTTCCTTCAACTCCCATACCAACAGTTGAGACAATCTCACCTGTATACATACTAAACAATTTTCTTAAATCAAATTCCATAAAATTGTCTTTATTTTTCAATTTATTTTTTAAATATTCATTAAATTTCTCCGATACCTTGGTGATTAACGAAAACATTAATTTCAATTTACTTGATGAAAAACCACTTGTTAGTGCGTTTCTATTTTGTTTCCATGTTGTTTTTTGTGAAAAAAATGGATTTTTTGATAAAAGTGGATCCAATTCAGGATGAAGTATTATTTGATTGTTCTCGAATGATGAGAAATTTGTGATTAAAATTTTTTTCACAAGTTCTGGATCACGTATTATTAATGATGGTGTTAAAAATTGATAAAAGCCAAACATACTTTGATTGGAAGCTTTTTTGTAAAAATTTTCACATAATGTCGTAAATGCTTCTTGCATTATTATCACTTTTCCCATATTACCAAAAAATGGAAGACATTTTTTAACACAAGGTACTCCTTTTTTTTGCCAATAATTATATTTTTGTGTTAAATAATTGTAAGTGAAAATAAAAATTAACGTTATTAGTGCAATAAGAGATGGTAATAAAGAATCCATGTTTAATTCTCTCGTCGACTTTTTCAATATAACTGATGATCATTTTTATCAATACAAACAATTATAAGTGCAATATTTTTTTTTCCTACGATCAATACTGATGCTACCATTATCGCTTTCTGATAATAAACGAAGTGGAAAAAAAGTTGCGTTTCTAATAATCATAGTATTTGATATTACGAGAAAATATAATTCAGTTCCGCTGACAGCATTTAATTTATAGGTATTTTCATTAATTTATTTATAAATAAAAATATTTATTAATATTTGTTCAGCATTATAAGAAACAAGTTTTTTTTTATTTTTTTAAGTCAGTTAATTATTATTGCTTACTTGATTTCATTTAGATTTTTGATAAATTGAACAATAAAAAAAATTAATTAAAAAAATATATTGATATTAAATAATAGACTTTAATTAAACTATTAAATTCTAATTCAAAAATTAAAATTTATAGTATTAAAAATACTGCTTTTAATGTTTGATTACAATGAAATTATCAGAGTTCAAAGATTATTAGTCATACTAAGTATGATAATTTTGATAATAATTTAATATACCACTTAATTTAATAATAAACTCGATTATTATAAGCAATTCTAGGAAATAATTTGTATTGTAATTTCTTTAATTTCATATAGGTTATTCAAAAATATTTATAAAATACAACCATTTCTTTTATGCGAAATCACATAAAAAAAATTATATAAAAATAATTTATTGCATGAATTATTATTAATGCAATAAAAACAATTAATTTTTTTAATTTTTTGGTAAAATAGCTGTTTCATTAAAAAAAAATATCTTGTCAGCGTACCTTTTATCAATTAATTGAAGATTATACAAAAATTATTGGAATTGAATATTGCGATTCCTCTCAAATAACTCCCGTGAATAATAATAGATTCCATATTTGTTTTCTTTCTCCTGTATTCCTGAAAAATAAACCAATTTATAAATAAGAATATATAATCAATATACATTGTCATCATTTTGACATTCAAAACGAGAAATTTGTTGTATGAGATATATTAAAAGAAATCGAATTATTTTAAATATTATGATCAAAATTTTCAAGTGGAAAATACATTTCAATATACCTTTTCATAATAATAATAATAAATAGTATTAAGTAATAATGTAATAATAAATAATAATAATTGAAATAATAAAAATTGTAATGTAGATAAGATACAACATTTATTTTCAACTTTCAAATAAGATAAGATAATATTAATCAACGTCCATATTCAGAATTAAAAAACAGCTCAAAAAAAAACATGTAAATCAAATACAAATTACAAATTCAAAAACATACTGAAGGAATTTTAATAAAAAAAACTTCAATTTACAAACAATTATTAATATTTATTTATACGACAGAAAAGTAAAAAAAAGACTTGTTTAAATTTTATTGAATGCTGCAATGTCGACGGATTGAACATGATCTTCAAAATCTTGTATTTTCTCAACAAGTAAATCAACAGATACTTTGTCGTCTTCAACAACGCACATGATTTGCAATTTTTTGATGCCATAACCAACTGGAACGAATTTTGCTGAAAAAAATTAATTAAATAAAATATAATCGACATTAATTGAAAAGTTATTCAAAAAGTTAAGTAGTTTTTGTCATTTTCAACTCTTTCAATAAATGAAAAAAATTTATCTACTTGAAAACAATTGAAATTCATTAATTAAAATTAATTGAATTATTAATTTAATGCTTTATTTATTCTTTATTTACTATCTTTTTAAAAAAAGAGTTCTAGGATAATTAATTGATTGCATAAATATTCTCTTAAAAAAATGTTGTTCAACTTACAAGCACCCCAAATTAATCCGTCCATTTCGATGGATCTAACAGCTTTCTCCATTTCTTCCATATTTGTTTCATCACCCCATGGTTTCACGTCAATAACGATGCTTGATTTGGCAATAACTACTGCTTTCTTGGACTTCTTTTCTGCGTATGCCTTTAGTCTTTCCTCACGAATTCTCGCTGCTTCTTCATCTTCCTCTTCATCAGAACCAAATAGATCAACATCGTCATCATCGGCTGCCGGTTTTTCTGTTGGTGCTGTTGTATTACTTCCTAAAATTGTTGGTGCCTTCTTCTCACCTGGTAGAGTCTTAAAGTCATAAGATTTGATGTGATTGTACCACCTAAGAACATGTGGATTTGAGGGATTTGGAGTTTTTCCCAATGCCTCAAAAACTGCAACATCAGCCTGAGTTGGTTGATAACTGGAAATTTATTTATAACAAAATTATTAATCTTTCTTGGTTATAGATATAGCAAGAATAATGATATATAATTAATTTAAGTAAATATAATTGAAAGAAAGAGTAAAAAGAAGTCATTTTTTAAAAACTTTTATAAATTTACTTACATTTTTCTTCCTCACATAATAGAGGAAGTATTGAATCTTAAAAAATTAATTTACTAAATATTATAGTAAGACACACAATTTCCTATAGGCATAAATAAAATTTTATGCAAAATATTGTCAAATAAGAAGCAGTAAAAAGCAATTATTTATTAAATTAAAAATTGTGAAAAGAAAAAGAAATGTAAATTTCCACTTGAAAATTTTATTCAATAAAGATTAAAAATTTCTGATTATCTAGAAATGTTAAGTTATCTTTTCTAAAAAGTATTTAACTATCAAAATTTTTTAATCTTTATCAAAAAGCAATGTTTAATAATTCTATGTGTTAAAAAAATTAACATATTTATGGCATAAAAAAATAAACATTTAAAATGTAAATTTTTTTTTAATTAATAAAACGAGAATAGAGATTGTCTGATTCTTCCCTAATAAATTACTGAATAAGTTAATAAAGTTGAAGTTCGTCGCGATTTTGTTAATTTATAAAATTATATATAAATATTATATATATAATTAACTAAAAAAAATTAATTACAATAATTATAATTTTACATAATTTTAAAATTTTTTAAAAACAGACAACTATTTCTATATACGTTACTGTTGTAACACTAGTAGAAGAAACATAACCTATAAATCAATAAAAATTGAAAAAACTTAACTTAAACTTTTTCCTTATAAAAAAAATGAAAGTAAAAACAACGTCTTATACCTTTGAAAGTATTTTTGTTGCTAAATTTTACAGGTAATTAGAATATTAGTTGAAAATAGGTTATACCTTCATGGGGGAGCAATTGATAAAAGTTAAATTAACGACCAATTTTCAATTATCTAATAAATTATATGTCAATAAAAAATAACGATTTTGTATTTCTTTTTAGAATATTGTGCAATTAAATAAAAAAAAAAGGAGAAATGTGTAATTTTTAAAGATATAAGTTGCCGACATGTAGAACACGTGTGTAGAGTAAACTATGTATATTGTTAAATTTACAGGTAAAAATTTACTCACCCTTCAATATAACTACGATCAACCAGATAAGAATTTAAATCCTTGACACCTTTGTCAGTTTTAAGATCACCCACGGCCATTTTTAAAGGTTTTAGTTAATAAATTAATCTACGAAAAACCAACAACAGCTGCAACTAACGTCTTGTCGCCTAAAACCGGAAGGGATGGGTAGGGAGACTACGTGATACGTAAAGGACTTGCGTTTAAACAATTGACGTTTTTCCGGTTTTGTAGGAGAATTAACAACTGAAAAAAATAAACTCAATAAATAAAATACATTAATTAAAGGCGTTTACAAACCTTACTATTTCCTGGTATATTGAAAACTTGTAAGCGTTTTTTATATCAACCGAAAACTTGTGAGCGATTATATTTTGGATATATGCGATTTTTTGGCGGAAAATTTAAAATTAAATTTAAATATTTCTGAAAAATACATTTGTATGAAGTATAAACAATAAGTAAATTATAATATATAACAAATTTAAAATTAATTTATATTAATATATTTCATACCACTGTATCTTTTAGAATTATTTAAAATCTATTTTTAAATTCTCTGATAAAAATGGCATTTATCTAAAATATGGACTCTCACAAGTTTTTAGGTAGACAAAAAAATATTCACAAATTTTCTATATACCGGGAAATAGTAAATAAAATAAAATTGTACTTACTCGAAATATTAATAACACTCAAAGCAGAAAAAATAAAACGGCTGCGATTTAAACGATTGCAATGCTCAATAATAACATTTACAACAAAAAATACCTGAAAAATTTGCAATAGCAGATAAATAAAAGATTTTTCAATTTAAATTCAATTAAAAATTTTAAGTATTCTGTAAATGTTTAAATAGTTAACATTTTGTTTAATTTGAATATAAATAAAATACAAAAGGGGTCGTACATGAAGCATGTGATACTTTGGGGGAAAAGGGGGGGGGGGGTACAAAATATCACGCTCCACGTTAATGAATGACCCAAAAAGTTTTTAAAAATAAATCAAGTTAATTAAAATCTTAACTAATTGAGTAGAGATAGTAGCACATAATTTCATTTTTTGTAAAAGTAATAAAATTTTTATATATAATAAATATAGAATAATGTAATAATATAAAAGATTAAAAATATAATAAATTACACATTCCTGAAAAAATAAATGATTAACTCAATTAAAAAGAAATATTATTTCTCACCACGTTGATTCATCTGAAAATAATGATTAATTAACCAAAACATGCAAAAAAAACACTTAAAAAACGTACACAAAACACTTATAAAACATATACAAAACATTAAAATATAAAAGACAACATAGTGACAAAAGAAATAAAGGATAGAAATAAATAAAATTTTCACTGGTACTCCAGTTACTTATTTTTTACTTACATTTTTTACCCGATTTCCCTACCTATTGCTATATTTAAAACGAACAAAAATGCCTATTTTTCCCGAATTTCCTACCTATATTTATATTCTAAACGAAACTAATACCGCCCAGGTGCAAATTACCTACACTAGGGTTAACGTCCCGGGACGCAACCGTCACCTGAGCGATCTTTTCTGAAAAGAAAACATTTAATTCGTTAATCATTAAAAAAATTATCAAATCTTTCAATTTCCAATTCCACATGCATTAACTTTTAACTGTTGAGAATTAAGTATAAAATTTACTAACAGAATTAATTAATTAAATTATTTGCAGTTAATAAAATTTTACTCTAGTTTGAATTACTTTTTTTTAATAGAAAAGAAAATTACTTTAATTAATTTAACATACAATAAATAAATAACATACATATATAAACAATGAAAAAACATTGACAATAATATTAATTTAAGTAGTATTAAAGTAGTAATCTACAAAACATGTAATACTTTAGGATGTGGGGAGTGTTACAAATTTTAAGGGGCTAAATTTCCGAAATTATCACATGTTTTTTTTAGATTACTCCAAAAAAATACTAAAAAAAATAAATTTTGTCAATGGTGTCACTATGTTGTCAGATTTCCTTCCCTGTTTCTTTTTAATTTTTAATATTTTATTTGGATCAATATGATATATCTACTTTTTTCAAATGTTTCTAAATACATTACATTTTTTTAAAAAGTTAAGGAAATTTCACAATTAAGAATATATAATGAAAAATTAATTTTCAATTCATAAATCTATTTTAATTGAATTTATTAAAAAAATAGCTATTTTAAACAGAGAAGGGGTTAAATAAAAAACGACTCACCGATCGGCGGATCATCCCTCGTCGGGACAATAACGTCATTGCCACTCTCGACCGCTTCTGGGCCAGCTCCCGAAGATCCCTCTTTCTTGCTCGCACTTCTGCGTGAGGCCGGGAGCTCAAAAAAAATATTATAAAAAAATAATAAAAAATGAAAAAAAATTGTATAAAAAAAAGATATATGCTGGGGCCACTTTTCTTCTTCCACATCCTTCCTAGTCTCTTCAGATATTTGGAAAATTGGAATGGAACTGAAAAAAAATATTATTAAAAATTAAATTATACACTTATTTTCTCAAAACACTATTAAATGCTAAGTTATTATTTTTTAATCAATTAAATTAATTTGGAATTAATTTAATGAAATTAAAAAATAATTAAATCCAGTTAAAATTTTTTAAGTAAATTATAATTTTTAAATTTGTATATAAAATTAATTATATTAAACAACACTCACCTATATGAGGGGATTTCTGCGTAGTGTTAGAAATACGATGACACCATATCCTTTTTATAAAAGGACTTCCTTCTTTTGGACCTGAAAAAAATATAATAATTCATGATGTTATAAAATAAAATATTAAAAATCCTCAATACAATAAATTATTTTTAATTATATATTAATATTCATAAATATTAACATTTTATATTCTATCATGTTATAAATATTACAATAAATTTTTATTTATTTTTGTTTTATTCCATTTATTGATATTTCTGAAAAATATTGGAAACAAAGACTCACCTATAAGGGGGAATTTCAGCGTGGTGTATAAGATACGATGACAGCATAGCTCCTTTTTAAAAGCTCAAATCTTTCTGCTACTGGACCAACTGCCTGAAAAAAATAATTTATTATATTATATGTGCAAAATAAAATATTAAAAATCGTAAATACTATCAATAGTATTTATTTTATTCAATAGTATTTTTTATTGTTCCAATATAACAATTAAAGGAAAAAATTTATAATCGACTTACATTGAACTGCGACTCAGCAATGCAAGATCTCCTCCAGGAGCAGCTCCGCAACAAACACCCATCCTTCACGATTTGAACACCTGTAACTTCAGAAAAAAAATTGTTTTCCATAAAAACTTACAATAAGATTTTCAAAATAAAATTTATTTAATTATTTCTTAAGATGATTTTTTTAAAAAAATTTATATAATATTAGTTATTTTAAATTTTAATTAATTAATAAGTAAAATAATAATTATCATAATCAAAAGCAGAAAAAACTAATAAAATTACTATTAAAATGCAAAATGGAATTTTTAGAAAAAAAAATGTTTGTTATTTAAAAATAATGTAAAATCTTAGTTTTTATAAACAAATATTCACCTAAGTTGAGAAGAATTGGTGCCTAAAGGATTAACATTGTTTTAGTATTTAATTCAAGTCCTTTTTTTCCTGAGATGTCTTTATTCCATCTTTTAGCTCTGTAAATAAATAAATAAAAGTTAAATAAACATATAATATGAATTTTAATAATAATTAAATTTTGATTTTAAATTTTATCTCTAAAATACGGCGGACAAATATTCGAACAGATGTAGGAGAGAAATATGAAATTGGATAAGTAGTAATTTTTAGGTTAAATTCCAAAGCGTCATTAAATTTCACAAAATATTAAAAATTCTTATATTTACCAATAAAAATTAGTTGTAATCTGGAAAATTTACATCACACTGAACATAATTATTGTAATATATTTTTAATTTGTATTTAGATTTAAAGATGTTTTCTATTATTAAAGAAATTTTTCTGTCACTTTCAGCCGCTCTTTCTACAATGTCTACTATAGTGAGAAATGATACCAACATGAAGGAAAAAAATTACCAACCAATTATACACTCCTACCAACATAATTGGAAATTTTTTAAAATACTTTTTTAAAGGTAGTAACCTTCTTTATTTTAATTATTTTCAATTTTATTAATAAATTTATTTCTAATTATTATTATTTTTTCTTTTTGTTCCATTTATTTTATTTAATATTTTTAAAAAAATTGAAAAGCTGTTTTCAAAATTGCTACAAGTCACAAGTGTAATGCCAAAATTTTTAGGTTACACTTGTCATAAAAATTTTACCTAAATTTATTATTTTTCTTCACAGCTGCCACAAAACTTTTATGTATTTCTGATTATTCATATAAAGGAGTACTTAATTATCAAAAATATCTATAATTGATCTATAATAATCGTTATGATTAAAAAAATACTACAAGATTCAATTTTGTGCATCACAAATTGGACCTCTCACTTACGGACGACGCCATTTGCAATGAGCAGTAATGCCAACGCAAGATAACAAAAAACTAATCTTTTAATTTTTACCAACATGAAAAACTTCATTTTGATAAAAGTTAATTTTTATTATTCATTCTTTTTTTTGCAAATTTTTATTATTTATTATTAAAACAAAAATTGTATAGTATTACGATTTAAATTATACTTTACCTACATTTCTTTGTTTAACATTTCGATGCTAAACTTTTTAGGTTAGGTTCCCATGTTAAAAAATTTTTTTTCGAAATTTACTTATTTTTTTCTTGCCTGCTAAGAAACATTTATGATTTCTCGAATATTTATATAAAACAATACTTAATTATCGAAATATATCTATAAATAATCGTTCTGATTAAAGAAAAAATATAAGATTAAATTTTCTACAACGAAATATGGTTCTTTTCTCTATGACGACGCCATTTGCAATGAACTTCAATGCCAACGATGCCAACTCAAGATAACAAAATACTGAACTTGTTCATTTCTACCAACATAATTAGAAATTTTTATTAACTAACTTTCTTTTTAATTGTATTAATTTTTTTGAAATATTTTTAATTTTTATTAATAATTATTAATAAAATTCTTTTTAATTACTATCCTTCTTTTACTTTTTAAAAAATTTTTTAAATATTTTTTTAAAAAATGCAAAACTTGTCCAAAAATGCCATCTAGCGGCGGTAAATTTTATTTATTTTTTATTTATTCAACATATGAAGTCACAATAAATGCGACAAGTCACAACGATTTACATTCATTCTAATTGTTAAAAATATTTTTTTTGTTTATTAAAAGGTGTTCTAATAAAATAAACAAATTATAAAAGTAAAGAAAATTAACTGTTATGTGAAAAATAAGACTTATGTATGTCTGTAACAGTGACATGTATAAATCTAGATAAATTAAAATATTTGACTATTTTTACGGAATTAAATAATAGTGAGCCAAAATTTGGTAAAATAAAATGCAATTTAATATGCAAGGATACAAATAATGGTATTTATTTAATTAAAATATTTCTGTATTCAAAAATTTAGATTTTTTCAGATCGTGTAATTTTTATTATTTTTATCAACTTTTCCTATTATTATTTCTATGTAAAAATCATTTAACATTTGATACTTAATTAAATTAATTAATATTTTTGTTACTATTGTAGAAATATATGTTTTTATTTCAGATATAAAGTAATTTCACATAATCGTGTGTAAAATGGATTATGTCCATAATTATTGTTTGCCTTATGGCTCCAGCCAAAGTCAACCAACAACAAAAGGTATTTTTATATTTTTTCATTGTTTATTTTTAAATAATCCTTATAATATAAAAATAAAATAAGAATAATAATAAATTTTTTTATATGTTACAGAATTATCATATAGTAAAGTAGAGGATATAAAAAAAGTTTGTCGACTTTGTGGAGAAAATAGTGACACTTGTACACCTATTTTTGAAAATAAGTTGTCAATTGCTGAGAAAATAAGCAGATGTCTACCAATAGTGGTAAATTTAATTATATATTTAATTCTCTATATACTGAAATAAGTTTTTACAAAAACAAAATTCTTCAATATTGTTATTTTTTAGGTTATTGCCAATGATAATTTACCGTCACAAATATGTAAACGTTGTCTTACATATTTAAATATCAGTTATAAATTAATTGTAAATTCTATCAGAGTTGATGAAAATTTTCGTAAGCAATTAAAGGACAATGAAGAAAAAGAGGAAGAGGAGAATTATCATTTAAATAAAAAACAATCTACAACAGTAGCAAAAAATGAAATTCATACAGTGCCTATAAAAAAATTGAAAAAATTTGCATTAAACGGTCCAGTGACTTGTGAATTTTGTGACTTGATATTCTCAAATGTTAGTGAATTTGATGATCATTTTGAGAAAAATCATATATTAGAATGGAAATGTAATTATTGTGATGGAAGTTATGAAACATCAGACGAATTAATTGAACACAAAACTAAATTACATTCGGGTAATATAATAATTTGTAAAACATGCGTTGACGATGAAGAAGCAAAGGAAAAACAATTAAATCAAATGAAAAAAGAAATGGATATATCTTCTGGTGAGGAATGCGAAGAAAAATTTTATATTCCCGCTGAAAATATTTCAACAAATAATGACGAAGAATTTATTTTACCACAAAATAATCAATTAACAACTAATCCTGAAGAAATTCCTGTTATTCACCAACAAATATCGAAATCAAATATTTTAACAAAGAATAATTTTGAATCAAATGAAGAAACAGAAATATTATTACCTTCTACATCATTAACACCTGCAATTTTAGATAAATCACAATTAAATTCAAAGAATGAAGGGAAAAAGGCATCAAATAAATTTAAACCCATATATCTTTGTGATATTTGTCATCTTCAATTGAAAGATCAAAAACTTTTTGAATTACATAAGAAAATTCATATACCAAAAACTATGATTTGTGTTCATTGTAAACATGAATCAGAAACAATTTACGATCTTTATTTACATAAAAAGGGAGTTCACAGTTTATATTCCAGAGTTAATCTTAAATATGTTTGCGAAATGTGTGGGAGATTTTTTTCCAGTTCTTGGGAATGGGATGTGCATAAAACAAGAAGATGCAGAAATCGTGATGGAAATAAATGCAAATATTGCGAGGCTACATTTTCAACAAGTCACAAGCTTAAAAAACATTTAAGAGTAAGATTAATAAAAATTTATTTTTTAATTTATTTGTTTTAAATATAAATTTAATAATTTGTTTTTTTTAGAAACATAAACAAGAGATGTTAAGTGATCCAACTGCAAAAATTTTCAAATGTGTCTCATGTCCGAAAATATTTGTCGACGAGGAATTTTATCAGAAGCACAGAAATGTGAGTTTTTCGAGAATTGAAATTCAGTTTTGAAAATTTTATTACTAATGGAATATCTTTGTTGTAATATTAATTTCTTTTTTTAGGTCCACGATCCTGAATGTTGGAATAATTTTAAATGTGAGATATGCAGTCGATCTTTTCGAGATAATGTGAGATTAAGAGAACATATGAAATCAATTCATGAGGGTGTTAAACCACATGCTTGTGATATGTGTGGTAAATCTTTTCATCGTTTATCGAACATGGTAAGAAATATAATATTTTAGTCAATAAAAAAAAAATAATAATGAAGTAGAATAATTTTTCTTTTAAATTGAAAACAAAATAAATATCAATCATAAATAATCATTTTCTTTGTAGAAAGCACATCGTGCATTACATTTTGGTCATAAATGTCCTCATTGCGAGCAAAATTTCGAAAAAATACGACAATTGGTTAATCACATTCAGGAAGATCATGGTTTAGAGCCACCAGCAAATTTATTAACCAAAAAAGGCTACGTGACAGGAACTTTTGTTTGTAAATTTTGTGGAAGAACTTTATCAACTTATCAATCATTATTGGATCACGAACACATTCATACGGGAGAGAAACCATATCCTTGTGATATTTGCGATAAAAGTTTCAGGTACTTTATTCTTTTCTATTGTTTATAATTTCGAAAAAAAAAATTATTTTTCTAAATATGATAATTTTCTAATTATAGAAGTTACACTGCACGTTGGTCGCATATGCAGAGACATAAAGAAGGCAATTTCATTTGTGAACAGTGCGGAAAGTCTTTCAAGTAAAAAAAATTATTACTTTCTATATAAATGAATGAAAAATTTGAATTTTTGATAAATAAATTTTTCACAGAAAGATAGTAAAACAATTGTTAAAATTAAGTTCAACAGGAAAAAATTACAATTAAAATTAGTTAAATTAAAACATAAAAATTAATAAAACTAAAATTAATGAAATTTTTTAAAAATTACAGTTACAAGCAGAATTTGATGACACATGTGCAAATTCATGTTTCAATGGAGGATAGAAAGCATCAGTGTCCAACTTGTAATAAAAGATTTTTACGAAAGGCTCATCTCAATGTACATATGCGAATTCATGAAGGAATTCGTCCCTATACGTGCGATATTTGTAATTTTAGCTTCACGCAAATTGGTGACATGAGACGACATCGTGCACGCCATGGAAATGGAGAAGTAAAACGACAACCACGAACAAAAGTCGATAATACAAAATATATTTCCGAATATAGCAATGAAGATACAAATTAAATTCGCTATTCTGTTTTTATTATAATAACAAAAAAAATATTATTAGGCAATGAACATAAATTCAGAATTATTACTTTTTATCTATAAAAATTTCTTTCATCAATTTTTGTATTCGTAAATTCATAAATTACGTTCTAGTTATTTATATTGTGTTCAATATTAACTGATTTCTAATTTCTTTGTTTTTCTTAAATCAGTCTTTATCAAACGAACAAATCAGTTTAAATGTAATTAATGTTTTCACGAATGTTTTCTTGATAATAATTAATATAATGAATTAAAATAGATTATAAAAATACTTATTGTGTAAATTTTCTACGTACAGTAAAAAATATAAATAAAATTATTTTTAAAAATTATTATTCTTGTTGATAAATTAGTATAAATTGAAATTTTAGAAAATATTTTTTATAAATTATTTTTATTGAAAATTATTTAAAAACCGGAAGTAATAGATTTTGACTAAAGTAGTACACGACTGAGGTAGCCATTTTGATATATTCTGCGCATGACAGAGTTAAAGTCGATGTAAACGGAAGTTCCGGTTTCTTTTCTCTGCTTGGGTGCGAGAAGATGGTAACGTTAAACATTTACTGTATTAATTTTATTAATAATAATCTCTTTAATATAAAATAAATAGTGTTTTTTGTGATTCAATCAGTTAAAAGAAGTTAATTAAATATTTTCCTACACATACTTTAATAAATTGTTTACTTTTTATATAAAATACCATTGACACATACCATGTGCTTTCTATAGTTTGTGATTTCTTTTTAAACAAATATTTCTCTATTATTTTATGTGGTTATCTTTATTTTACATCTTTCTTGTCGATTTACGTTTTGAATACCAAAAAAATGTACGGTGTAAACTTTTCATCAAATTGAGTGTAAAATGACAACATAACCTCACTTTATGTGTTTTGTAAATAAAATGTGATTCACATTCATTAAAAGTGAAAATATTGTTAACTTCTGAATAAATTTACCGGTGAATTATTTTTAAAGAAGAAAATTTAATTGTTATTTTGTTCTCTAATTTTTAGACGTGCAAACGTCGTAACGGAGGGCGTGCAAAGCATGGCCGTGGCCATGTCAATCCAGTTAGGTGCACAAATTGTGCACGTTGTGTTCCAAAAGACAAGGCAATTAAAAAATTCGTCATCAGGAACATTGTTGAAGCAGCTGCCGTAAGAGATATCACAGAAGCCAGCGTATATCAAGCCTATCAACTCCCAAAATTATACGCGAAGTTGCACTACTGCGTTTCATGCGCTATTCACTCTAAAGTTGTTCGCAACAGATCGAAGGCTGATCGTCGCATCCGAACACCACCTGTTCGCAATTTCCCCAGGGTAATTATTCTCTTTTTCATATACATTTTTATTATAAAAAAATTCATTCATTTTGATTTTAATTGTGAGAACAAAAACAGTTTATGTATCAATTTGAAAATTTGAAAATTAACAATTGCTTCTCAAAACATTTTTAAATAGAAGTTTATGTTATTTATTGTATATTAAAAAGTATTTAATTTGAAGAAAACTACATATAATTTTATTTTTGTTACAGGATATGCGTCAAGGACAGCAGAATCGCAAATAATTAATATTGTGTATGGATTTTAAAAAATAAAAAAATTTTACACTTGTATTTATACTGAAGTTTTTTTTATTAATTCTTAATTTTGCACTGTTAAAAATTCTTATACATTTTTTTTATTTAACTTATGCACACTATTATTAGCTATATAGAAATTAATATTTTTTTTTACATTAAAAACTTTTCGTAAAACTTATATATAATTTTATATATATATATGATAAACAGAATCTCATTGCAAGACTTGTTTTTTCTTTACGATCAAAAATCTATTGTCCGTAAGAGTTTAATTAAAAATATTTTTTATCGGAAACGTTTTTTTTATGCATTCAATTAATTTGTCTACAATTATCTTACATTTGCATATATAGAGTATGTAAGTTTTTAAATATGAGAAAGAAAATTATTTCAATATCACAATTCTTTTTTTTATTGATTTTTTAAAATAATAAATTGGCATATTTCTAATAGTAATAAACTAGAGGACAAAATTCTTCGTCACACGCAAAAAAAAAGAAAAAATGAAGAATAAAAGATTCTTTATATGGAAATTATTAAACACAACTAATAAATTATTTTTGTAAATTCAAAAATTGAATTTTCTTTTGTAAAAATTCAGTAAATTTTTTGTGGAAATCATTTATTAGCTTCCTCCATTGCTTTTTTTAATGATTTTTCGAATATTTTCTTGGAATCACAAAAACCTTGTTTCGTTTTACCAAAGGAATTTGGTCCAGCTGATGTTGGTGTTTCACGGCCAATATTTCGCATTCTCATTCTTGCTTCAGCTGGCATTTCCTCGGGTTCATCGTCATCCTCGTCTGTATTGAAAACTGACGCCACTGTCGGTTTTGGAATCGTCGAAGGTTTCGTTACTGGATTCTGTAAAAAAAGGTTTACAGATAATTTTTAAAATATTAATATTAATAATCATAAGAATGTTTTTTGCAAGCAGAGAAAATATAAAAAAAATTAAGAGACAATTACCGAGAGTGCACCGAATTTTATTTGAATTCCTTTTCGTTGATCAATTGTCGACGTCGTCGTTGTTGTGGTTGATTTTTTGCCAAATCCAAAGGCAAGTTTTTGTTTTCTGGAATCATTTTGTCGATTTTGACTGTAGTGTGACGTTTCCCGACGATCATCCATTCGTAACGGTGAACGATCTCTGACTCTCTCGTCTTTTCTCCCATCCTCTGCTTTGTAGGCATTTGACCCTGACAACGTCAAACACTGGCAAAGTTCAGATACAGTTAAAACAAAGCAGCCTTATTAACCGGAAACTTTTTTCTTTTATTTTAAAATTCATTTTCTTCACGTTTTGTTCAATAACAGACTTAAAAAACATAAATAAATAACAATTACATTAGTGTCAAAAATCATTTGAATTATTATAGTTCCGTTAATAAGTTTTACATAGTCTTGCTGCTTTAAGATGAATAATTTCTTTTTTAAAAAAATACAAAAATCAGTATATTTGGCATGCATATATAAATATGTTTCCATAAAAAAACTTTATGGAAGAGAAGCTTTTTTACTTATACTAGTCAAGAAACTTTTATATAATTAAGTTGCATCAGATAATTATAATTGATTATTGTAAATTAATTTTTATTAGAAGAAAAAAACGTGATTCGTAAAATAAATAAGCTTTATATTAAAATAAAAAATTGATAAAAGGCAATAAAAAAAGAGCAAACATAATGTGTGCAAGAAAGTTACAGTGAGAGGTTAAGTTTTACTGCCCTTCTCTATTTTACAATACAACAAAAAATAAATATAAATATAGTACGTAAATTGAATAGAACCTTTTCTGTAGTCGCTTGAATTCTGCTTCGACATTTTATTTCTTTTTTGAAGACTTTTAAAGGTACTAAAAAGGTACTATAGGTACAAAAACTGACAAAAAAAAGTTAGAAAAGTTATCTTCTATCGTGTCACTGCGATCGGAAAGGCAAGGTTCTATCGGTAAATAAGAGTGTTTCAAAAGTCTGTTCAAGTAGGATTTGACATTACCAATATTTTGATTACTGACAGAGCCATAGAGGCGCTGTCTGTATATTTTAGTATATGTACCGTCTAACCGACGTTTCGTATCGTGAATGATTCGTGTTTCCCAGTTGTTCCCAGTTTTCTCAAGGTGGCGCCCAAAAATATCTGTTGTCATTTCGTTGAAGAAAAAGAAGAAGAAGAAGAAGTGATAATTTCTTATACTTCGTAAAAGTTTGACAACAATCTCAAAAAACACATAAAGTTCTTCAAGCAACATTAAATAAGTGAGTAAATTTTACTTAAATTCAACTTAATTGCATTAAGGTAAAAAATTGATATCTTTTCTTAACCTAAACTTTTTAACACATTTATCTTACTAGAAAACAATTGACGAGCAAAAGAAAAATGTGCTGCCTTGTTAATTTATTTGAATTATTAATTAAATTATATAATCCTAAAATTTTTCTTTGTGTATTATAATTATGTACAATTTAATTAAGATTATTATTTTTCAATTAATAGTTTTAAATAATTTACTAATTTTATCAACTATAATTGCTTCAAAAAAAATCCTAACTTCTTTTCTTGAGTATAAAATTAAATCGTACATAATTTTTTTAATAGATAAAATAAATTCAATATTAAATTTGAGACTGTTCAGGTAGGATTTGACATTACCGATGTTTTGATTACTGACAGCGCCACAGTGGCGCTGTTTGTATATTTTAGTACAACCGTCTAACCGACGTTTCGTATCGTGTTGATTCTTGTTTCCCAGTTTTTTCAAGTTATGGCTGCCAAAAAATATCTGTTAAATTATCAATCAGAGTTAATTTGTCGAAGAAGAAGAAAAAGAAGTGATAATTTCTTATAATATGTAAAAGTTTGACAACAATCTCAAAGTATACAGAAAGTTCTTCAAGCAATATTAAAAGAGAAAATTTTCCTACAATTCAGTTTAATTGCATTAAGGTAAAAATTGATATCTTTTCTTAACCTTGACTTTTTTAATTATAGTAAAACTTTGTTTAAAATTTTCATTTTTCAATCTTGATATTATAAAATTATGTTACTCATAACCTTACTTTTTACCCTTTTGTACTTTTTAATACATTTATTTTATAATAGAAAACAATTGGCGCGCTGAAGAAAAAAGTGCTGCCTTGTCAATTTATTAAAATTGTTAATTAAATTATATATACTCATAAAATTTTTCTTTATATACTATGAATGTACAATTTAATTAAGATTATTATTTTTCAATTAATAGTTTTAAATAACTGACTAATTTTAGCAACGATTTTTGCTTCCAAAAAAATTCCTGACTTCTTCCTTGAGTATAAAATTATATCGTGCATAATTTTTTTTAATTATGTTACACATAACCTTACTTTTTACCTTGTCGTACTTTTTAATATTTTATTTTACTAGAAAACAATTGGCGCGCTAAAGACAAATCTGCTGCCTTGTTAATTTATTTAAATTGTTAATTAAATTATATAATCGTAAAATTCTTTTGTATATTATGAATATTTACAATTTAATTAAGATTATTATTTTTCAATTAATAGTTTTAAATAACTGACTAATTTTAGGAACGATTTCTGGTTCAAAAAATTCTTCTAATTCCTTAAGTATAAAATTGAATCGTGCATAATTTTTTAAATAAATAAATTCAATATTAAATTTAAGTATAATTTTTAATTGCAATGATGAAGTACAGTTGCTTTTATACAGTATGTATAGATAGACAAAATTGTTATTATAATCGTTCTTAAGTATTCGAGCGACGTAAATATTTAATAAATTCGTAAGATTACTATCGCTTATAGTTTTTGACAAAGATTTGTAGACTATGTATATTTGAAAAAATTCGTTGGACAAAAAGAAGCAGCAGAGTTTTCGTTTGTCGTGTCATAAATACAAAAGGAACGATGCAATTATTAATTACACGGATATATAACGTCTTTTTAGAATTATATATATTGTAATAGATAATAATTTGGTGAATTTACTATGGGAGAAATAAGTGTTTTTGCAAATTTGTGTGTTTTGCAATGTGCTTTTCCATTTTATTTTTTAATCCGATGAAACGCACCTGTCGGATCGCTGAATTTGCTATCGAGTACCGTGAAATCGTAAACAATGATTATATTCCATTTAAGAAGAATTGAGTAACGTTTTTTTCGCTAATAACCTTATATTCATATATTCAATTTATATTAATACAAATTACAGAAACCTTTCGTTTTTGTTTTTTTTACAAACTTTTTTTTATCACCTACTTGAAAATTTGTACACATCATAGAATTTTATTTAAATACACTCTCAACATTTTTTTCTTTTCCTTTCTCACACTTTGGCTTCTCTGGACTATATTCACTTCTGAACTATATAAATTTTGATAGACAAAACATTTCTCACTTTTTCTTTAAAAATTTTTTACATCCACCTCCCTCCATTCTTTTTTTCTCTCTCAATCTCCCTCTGATTACCATCGGTAATTTTTGTTTTCCAATTTTGATAATCTTTAATAATAAATAAAATAAAGCGGAGCGGAGGGGATTGTATGAAATACTGCATAATAATAAGATGGAAATTACGTATTCTAATTAATTAATTATTTTTATAAAACAACTAGGATCTAACTAAAAGCTTTGTAAATTTTTTTGCATTTTGTGTTTTTTCAATTAACAATTGTCAGTGTTACGAAATATTTTATCCAAATATTACTTTTAATATTTTGATGTAACTTTTATATAACAGTAACATAACACTTGTGATTGATTAATATCAAATATATTTTGCAAAAATTCTTATAGGAGACAAATTATTTCCCAAAATCCGTTAAACCAAATTTTTGTTAGAAAATATTTTTTTAAAATAGTGTCTTTGTTTTAATTTTTGTGATTCCAGTTTCGTACAAATTTGTATAAATTTTTTTTTCTATTATTTATTTTTCCGCAATTTCAGTTAATTGAAATCTTTTTGTTCTAAATTACTGTTATTTTATCATATTTTTATATACTTGAACTTTTATCTCTAAATTTAATAAAATTATAATCTATTTGTTATTAATTCCAGATTGAATCACTAAACCAAATAAATTTCCGTAAATGTCTAACTGAAATTGTTCAAAGGCTTTTGGGTAATAATCATTAAAAAAAATTCATCGACTAGTGATCTAAAATTTACAAATTTAAAAATTACGTAGTCCAAGGTTTCATATACAATAATTGACCCTTGATGTTCCAACGTAAGAAAGATTAATTCTCAACATAAATTCTTTGAGACGATTGAATTTACAAAAAATAATTAACGTCGCGGATATCGAGAAGGTCTTGGCTACGTGGAGACCTCAATCACACCTTCAGCAGTATTGTTGTTGAGCATCTTTTGCTTGTCTCTTAGTTTAAGATCAAAATGTGGTGACGCCGAATCCTTAGGATCAATGGGAGACAAAACCTCGGCTTCATCGATTGGCGAGACTGCTCCCTCGCTATCCTCATCATCGTCGAAATCGCCCTTTGGTTCATGCATCTCATGCAATCTCACTGGCAAATAAGCAGGATGATGTAATCCATAATTACTCTCTCCACCGTATGTAACTTTACCCATAAATGATCTAATTTCATCAAAGTATGCATCCTCCCTTTCATTGTCGTTGCTACTGCCTGGAGAATCGGCAACCGAAACAACACCACTTCCATCGTCAGCCTCATGTTTCTTTAAATGACGATCCAAATTTGTCTGTTGACCGAAACAACGATCGCACAAAGGACACTTGAATGGCCTCTGTTTGTCGTGAATATTTCTCACGTGTCTTTGAAGATTACTCGAAATACTGAAGGAACGCTCGCAGTATTTGCATTTGTAAGGTTGTTCACCGGTGTGTGTTCGAAGATGTCTTGTGAGATTAGCCGATCGCGGAAAGACCTTGCCGCAGAATTTACAGGAATAGCGATCCTTCATTTTACCGTGGGTGTGATTATGATGATGATGGGGTATCACAGTGTCGGAATAGGTGTCGAAGGGACGTAACGATGGTCTGGCGAGAAGATGATCGTAGGAACCGGGCCTAGCGGCGTTGAAACCGTTCATCAGGGAGCCTAAAAAAGGAAGACCCCGAGGAGGTCCGAAGGAGGGAAATGGAGGAAGGAGTCGAGGTTCACCAGTTGGAGGTGGTGGTGCTGTGGGAAATCCTGGGAAACTTGACTGTCTGTACATTGCATCAAGGAACATGGGATGAATCGGTCGAGGGTAGGCCATGTGGGGAGGATTCGGCGCTTGTTCGGAAGTTCTTGGAGGACTTGGATCTTCCTTGACTTTGATATTCTCTTCCTCTTCCTTTGGTTGTGGAGGTGGTTCTTCTATGGGAATTGGTACAGGAGAGGGAATACGCTTTCGTTTTTGAGTCGTTTCCAAGGGAGTTGCTGGCCTTTTCTTCGTTTGAACTCGAAGGTCTAGGGGTTGATCGCCTTCGGTGGATTCTTTCTCCTCTTTTGGTAGATTTACTTTCTCTTCTTTTGGTTCTGGACTGAGCTTAACTGGAGGTCTCGCTGGCGATGGTCTGAAGGTTGAGGTCGCTTCTTCAGCAGTGGATGGAGAAACCTTGCTTTGTTGCGGAACGATTTGTGGAGGAGTGAAACGTTCCTTCTTGGGACTTAAGGAAAGTTTCTCCAAACGTTCCTTCTTGGGGCTTAAGCATCGTTTCTCCGTTTCTTCCATTTTCGGAGAGAATAAAAGTGATGAGTTGAGGATATTCGAAGCTCCGGGGAACATTCCGGGATAGTGGGTCATGAGACTTGGAGAATAAAATGGAAGTCCACCGGGCAAGGAGACGGGAGGTAAACGGGGATAAACCAAAAAGGGACTTGTGGCGGTTGTTGGAAGTTGAGGCATTGTTCCTGGTGGTCCAGCGGATGTTGTGGAATCACAGAATCTCTTGTGCTTCGTGAGGGACGTCGAGGTATTAAAGGACTGTCCACATTTGCCGCATTTGCTTTGAGTACGACAGACGGCGTGCATCCGTTTGTGACGACATAGATTGGAGAATTGGGTGTAAGCTTTTAGGCAAACTTCACATTGGAAGGGTTTCACGCTACTGTGAATGTGAGTGTGTTGCTTGAGACCGGAACTGGTGGCGAATGTTTTTCCACATTCAGTGCAAGCGTGACTCCTGGCGCCTACGTGATGTGATCTGATGTGTCGTTGAAGATTTGATGGATCGGTGAAAACCTGTGAATCATCAATCTATTAGCGATACTTGAAAATTAGCCCTATCTAGAGGTGGTCGATTTTTATTTGTTTAGGTACGATTGTAATTCCTTACCTTTGGACAATTCTCGCAGAGATATTTACGTAGGTCACCGTGAACAATGGAGCGATGACGTACCAATAATGGACGCCAGGTGTAACCACTGGGACAATTTTCACAGCGATGTTGCTCTGATGGATATCGATGACACGTCACCAGATGATTGTCTAGACTGAAAATAGAAAAAATTATAAATTCTTATTCATTTGAAAATAGGACATTTTTAATTTGCAGTATTTATGGAGAAAGTTTTTCTTGTATTTGAAGAAGGTCATATATTTGGCGACAGAGTTAAAAGGGGTTGTGAAAGATTGAGATATGAGATGGTATAGCTATACATATATGTGAGGGAACATAGATTTTGTCAACCCCCAAAAAGTGTTGGGCGAGACCCACTACTTCCAGGTGAGATAGTGTCCCCAAGGTGAAGTTACACGCCAGATGAGCTGGGAGCACGCAAAGCTGATGATATAAAGGGTCATAAATGTTTTGAATCGTTTAACACTTCACACTTTACAACAGGTGATTCCTCGATCTCGAGACATGGCTTTGAATCTTATTTTATCTTGCCATTTTAAATCTTATCTCACTGAAAATTGATTTTTTATATAATATATTACTTGCAACACTAAAATAAATTTTTTAAAATCTAACCCCCAAATATTAAAAATTTAGGCAAAAATATTTTTATTATTCTGGTTAATTACTACTTATAAAATTAATATCTTTACATTTTACACAAAAAATTGTGCAAATAAGAAGCGGATTTTTAGCCAAGTCCTTTTAAAATTGCACTGACTTTTGATTTCAAATATATACCTGTTATGATTTCGTGGTATAGTTTGCTTATTAGAAAATAATATCGTGAGAAGCAAAAAAAAAAAATGTTAAACCGATGAGCAATCGAATCAAAGCAGTAATTATGCCGGATCGATGAGGAGCAGTTGACTTTTTAAGGGTGCATAATGGTGCTTACAAACTTGGGACATTGCACGTGTTCAACATGGCATATGTACGGCGTATCACATATATAAATACGCATATAGTCACCGAAAAAGCTCGCGTGATCGTACGTTTATTTTTTAGTCTTTATTCTGATTTTAAGTGGATAACGCAATCCACCCTTTAATTCGCACTATTAATTATTAATTGACATTCTAATATCAACGACACGGACTTTTAAATCCTATATGTGGATAGTAATCTCATCATTGTCTTGATTATCAATATTTTAGAAAAAAATGTTAAAATATAGAAATTATAAAAAATATATTATAAAAACTATTTGTTATAATTTCACGAGTATTGAAAAAAAATTGAAAAATGCTGGACATAAAATTTCTGAAATGCGAGATATAAAAATTTCAAAGGGGAAGATTGATTTTCATCAATGGAAACATGGGAGTTGACATTTATAAATGATTTTTCATGTACTTACACGTCGATATCTTGAAACGGTTTATCGCAGACGGGACATTTTATTTCGCTTTCATCCTCCTCCTCTCTATCTTCGTCTATATTTTCGCTGTGTTGAGAAGCTGAAACAAAAAAGAAAATTTGTCATTTTTTTTTAATTTTCAATTTAAATTCTTTATTCTTTTTTAAAATGAAATGTTGATTTTTTCCAAAGTGTTGTTTAGTAAAATAAAGAAATGCATTCAATTATTTCATGCACTGAAAAAAATTTACTTATTGATTCAAATAATTTTTTTGAATTAAATAAACTGTATTTGAATCAATAATTTTTGTATTTGAAACTACTATTTAGTTGACTCAAATAAATTTTTTTTTCAGTACACTAAAGCTGATAGGAACTCTCATTATTATAAAAAGCGAAATTATAAATAAATAATTAAATGTTCTCAATAGAAAAAATATTTTCTAGTACTAATTTTAATGATAAAAATTTTGAAATTGATTTTAAAATTTATTTAAATTATTGCACAAACAATTTTTTTGTTAAAATACAGACAGACACACAGACACTTTCTTAAAAATAATTTTTTTCCAAATGATATTGTACACTTAAAAAAATAATTTCTACAACCTTAAAATATTAAGGTAATGTCGCCATATATTTAATAATTAAACACAAACTTACAACTAAAAAATTAGTTCGTACTTTAACGAATCACAAAACTGGTTGATGAGACACACTAGCTTGGACAAAGACAATAGCCACAATGATGCTCCAGTTTGTGCAGAATAGAGTACACTCTATTTCAGTAGGTGAATACAGAGAGGGTGACCGGAACCGTTTCCCATTGGTAAAAGCGGGGTTGCTCGTCAGCCAATAGCGGGTGAGAGTGAGTACTCATATACCCCCCGCAATATGCACCCCAAATGTCGTGGTTGCAAGTCAAATCAGGAAGGAAGGATACGTCAAAACGACAGGGGGCCATCGCTTATAAATCGCAACCTATACCACTTTCGTTCCACCACCTACTGTAACTTCCGGTTTTCAAAGATCCTACACTGCCCAATGCTCTATTTATAATGTCTTTTACACATATACATATATAACATATATGTTTTACAAAAATTGTTTAAATTCTAATGTTAGATTTAAGAGTATTCCTCCCATTTTTATGAAATTTTTCCTCTACAATTTGGTATCAGGATTCTCTTTCAATTTAAAAGTTTTGTCCTCTCAACCTAAATTCGTATAACAGTTGTATTTGAGAAGACAATCCTCTTAAATTGATAGGAAAATCTTTTTGATACCTCATTTATGAATGAAAAGTGAAAGAAAAGAAAATGAGAGGATTAGTTTTAAACGAAGAATATTATTCTCGTCTGTGAGGGGAAAATGGTAGAGTATAGTCCTATAATACTTTTCTAAAGAGAGGTAAATGTGTAATCAATTGTAGAATAATACTCTACTTTCAAGCATAAAAGTTAAAGGATTGGAATTGAGGATTTGCCCTCTCTAAGGAAGAGTATTTTTTTAAGTTCATATTTTTCAAAAAATAGTGTTGTTTTGTATGTGAAAATGGTTGTGGATATTTTTTTGGAGGGTGGGAAAATTTTTTTCAAATTCCTATTAGGTGTTATGGTGTAACTTTTGGGTTGTGGAATATTAAGAGGTCGACCGCATCCTCATTTTCTTTTTTAAATTCAGGACATGCGGCTCCAAATTAGTCGTGGATAGAGGACAATTAACGTTTGTTAAGGGGTTGGTCGATCATGAAGTGTGTACAGTGGCGTGCGGGGTTGTGCCCGGTTCCCATGAAGGTCCGTTGGGGGGCCCATCGTCAAACCATATGGCCGGACAAGTGTACCGGGAGATTTAAATAACCGTTGGTCGATAGCTCTTCAACTTTTCTCCTGCACACCTTTACTTCTTCTTATTTTCAAAAACAAAAAATACTTTTGTTTAAAGAGAATATTTTTAATACGAAACGAAAAACGTGTTTTGTGTTTGGAAAAAGTAATCTCATATATATTGTCTGTAGTGAATAAAATAAATGTGTAGGTATTATAAAATGAAAAAAGCGAAAAAAGAATGAAAATTGATGACATAGATTAACTTTTCTAAACGGAAGATTTGAAATTAATAATAATTATATTTTTTCGAATGAAGGGAAATGGAAATTGAATCCACTTTATTCTCAACAACACACCGGTCTGATTTCGGTTGTCAGGTGGTCTGATAAATTATGCTAATTCGATGTTTAATAAGAACGTCGAATGTAGAATATGCTGGGAAGTCAACAGGTGGGATCCACCAACGACATACCCCCAGCCAAGTCGGTTGCAGGCCGTTGCATGGGAAAAAGTAACGGAAATCAATGAAATTATTTAAAACTTTTCAACATCTTTTGTTTATAAGACAACAACATTTTTCGGTTATTTCAAACTAAATTTGTTTGATTTAAATAAATATCTATTTGATTTAAATAAACGTCTTGTGTTTATTTTAATAAATTTTTCGAATAAAGATATAATTTGATTGGGCCAAATTAACTTTTTGTTGATTCAACAAAACTTGACTAACTGCGTATATCTATTGTTATTTATTAATATTTTTTAAAGATTTCTATATTACCGAACGGTTAAAGATTTAACTATACATATTAGTACAGCGCTGACAGTATTTTAATTTTTCTTTTTGCAGAAACTATCCTCGATGGTTTGTGGTGTGACGTACTTCAAAGATAAGGACAAAAGTAAAAAAGGGTATCTTGAAGGACAACGAGTTCTTCACATTCAGACTTTTTAGAACTCGGTCTATTTTTACGGTTATTTTTCACATTTTCTGAATGGAAATTTAACTTGAAAGTAGGGATCTCCGAGGGCTACTTAGTTTGAAAGAATAATCTCCTTGAAGCTGAAAATTCGTTATTAAGGTAAATATTTTAATTTATTGAAAAAATTTTATTACAGACCCCGCTTTAATTTTTTTATTTTCTTAATTAATTGATTTTCTTCTTTTATTTTCAGATTTCCCGACATCGAGAAAAAAGAGTCATCAACTTCAGTAAGTAAAAGAAAATTATAAATTTATAAAAAGCATGTGAAATTGGACCCCCACATTAATGATAATAGTAATAATAATAATAATTAATAGCTTAATTTTTTTCTATTATTCCACGGATTAATTTAATTTATCATCAGATAGAATAAAATCAGTTTCACAAAAAAAAATATCTAAACCATATCATGACAGAGAATAAAGAGAATTATTTCGCTAAAAATGTATCATGAACCTGATCTAAACGTCAAATAGTCACGTCATTAGTCGAATGGATAGAATGAAGATAGGGTTGGTTTCGGGTCCGATGCAAAATCATCCCTTCTCACTCCCACCCTAGAAAAAGTGTCGCGTGCGCCTTTTGTGTGCGGTACCCCTTTTTTGATCCGCGTGTGTTTTTTTCCCTTAACACTCTGTGACCCTGGTTATGCGCGTGTTAATCGACAATGAGAGTCATAAATTATCTTTTTCTCTCTCTGTGTCCTAATAGAGCCATCGAGCGAGATGAAAAAATATATGTATGTATATAGGGCCAGGAGGCAAGAAATATACGAATAACGCGTGTACATCAGAGAAAAAAAATCTCTGCTTCAAAATAAAAACCATAATTCTTGTTAACAGTCTCTGTCAGTTGGCAACACTCCCCCTTATATATAGTAAATGTGTGTTCATATATAGGTAGCATCTCCCTTTAAATTACCACAATTATCATATACACGCACGATACGCAATCGGAATCAATATATACCTATATATTTCAGGGTTGACACTTGAAACTAACATTTTAATCGACATTTATATTTAGATTTAAAATACATTTTCAATAAAATTGAATTTTTGTATAATTTGATATAAATATACACACCCAGACATTTATTATTTTTATTATTTAATTTTGTTGATATTGTTAATAACCTTGTTAAATTGAAATTGGTCAACGGGTTATGATAAATACCGGTTCTAAAAAGAGAATAAAGGTGTAAATCTGTCGCATTATAAATGTACAATAAAATCCGGTGACGACACAAAGACACGTGTCACAATGAGAGAAGCGGCTTGATCGAAATATTATATCTGAGGTTGAGCTGCCATTTGAATGCGTCTGTAGGTACGGCAATATATATAAACCCCATGTAGGCGTGTTAAAGCGATTCCGCCTGTCTCCCCATTCCTCCCACTGTGCAAAAAAATAAAAAGAGAAAAAAAATTATCCTAAGGCTCAGCGCAGATGCCTTGCATTACAAGGGTTAAACAGGGGTGGTGCCATTTGTTTGACATCGTTATTTCCATTATGACATCTTTCCATTCGTTTAGCATGGATCCATTTTCAAAGAGCCCTTGTATCACTTATAAACTAATCTCCTTTTTTTAAATAGAAAGTTAGGTTACTTTGTAATGTACTTTATTTTGGCTGAGAGAAATTTAGAAACATATGATTCTCTTTTCGTCGTCGAGATATCATTTACAAATAATATACTTTCGGATTCTCTGAACAATGTTATTTTTGTATTTCAAAATAATCCTAAATACAAAATTAAATTAATTAATAGAACATTCAGTTATTGTAATTATTTTGAAAAGAAGAAATTCTGAAACAGACTTGAAGCTCAGTTTAACCAATTTGAAAATTGTTCAAGAACTTGACTTAATTTTTACGATGTCGTTTAATGGAGTGGCTCAAAGTTGAGGGTTTATGATTTTCTGTGCTCGACGATTGTCTTGCGCGATAATACTCTCAGTTTTGAACTGTGTATACGTGTGAGTGTAGAATTGAGGGGAAAAGTTATTCGACATCCAGATGTCGCAACGATTAAAACAGAGCTTATTGTTAAACTTGGCCGATAGCTATATATACGTTTACTAATTATCGTAACTCGAATGAGAATTTGCACTCGTGTGATTGTTATTTATTATTAGATTCGTACTATATACCATTAACGTTTTTTTTCATTTCATCGACCAGGAAATAATAATTTTTCTCGACCAAATTCGTTTTTTCTTTAGTCGATTAATATTTATTATGCACCTGAAAGTGACTGAATCAAATTTAAAACAGAAAAAAATGAAATTATATCAACACTTATAATCCCGATGTTTTGACGAGTGAAATTAGTTGAAATTATTATCAACCCCTGTGGTTTTGTTTAAGAGGCTCAAGCTGTTCCGGAAGTGTCCGCAGTCAGTTCCGGTCAAATGTTTGTCCATTATTAATGCTTCAATATCTATATATCAATTCAATGAATTCTGTTCGCTAAGATATTTTTTAAATTTTATTATTTTTTTTGTTTTAAAATGTTTTTTATTTATTTTCTTCAATTATATATACAAGTAATAATTTGACACAATTATTTCTAATTTTAAAAGAAAAAAACATTTCATAAACGAAATTTATTCCAGTTATGAAAAGTTGGTTTTTTTAAAACAAAAATTGTGCCCTTTTATATGGCAGCAATTAAAATATTTATCCTTGAAATGATACCGCGTGCTCCGAATGTCGATTATAAAATCTTAACGAAGGAGCGCATTTTTATGGGACAATTTTAGTGGAGCAACTTAGCGTAGCAATTAAAAGCAACCCTGGTAGCAGTGTTAATTTCTGAAAATTAATTAAGACACTAAAGTACCATACCGTTTCGTTTGGAGAGGGTCAACAAAAATCGGGCACTGTTTTTTCCCAATAAAATACAACTTAATCTCATCTCAGAAACTTTTTAACTTATTCAAAAGTTTTATTTCTTTTCTTTCAGCGATTTTCTTTTATAAATTTAAACGAATTTTTTTTATAGTCAATTATTATTTTATTTTTGATATTATTATTATTTTTTCCTCGATCTATCAAAAATGACGCATTACCAACTAATGTACATATTGGGTTTTTTTTCGATTTAGAAAAAGGTTAAGCGAAGCATAAAAAAAAGTTCAAATCTAGCCATATCAAACAATTAAAAACATGAAAAGCTAATTATAGAATGAAACAGTGATGGTAGAGGAGGAAACGTGAATGGAAAATAATTGTGAGCTCGTGCTGTACTTATATATAATAATCGAAGTGTAATACATGGGGTTAATACTCAACGGCCGCGCACCACCAGGTGAATCACGCCAGAGTCACAGGCCATGACGAGAGTCGTTACATATATAATACGCACCTAATACGTAACCAGTGCAAATGCCGAGTGTATTTTTCACGATTAACGATTTTGGGATTTTTAACCCTCTGCCGGCCCTCATCGTCACTCTCGAATCTCGCACCTGCCCTAGGGGCTAATCGTATGCACACGAGCTAGGGTAATGTCGATTCCTATCAGCTTGAAAAGTCATAAAGACAGCTAAAGGAGTCTTTTTTTTTATATATATGCACTCACCGGTCTCTCGATCGCTTCTGTCTTCGGTCGTGTTTTCCCCGAACAAGTCTGGAAGTTGAAGTGGCTCTCGAAGACCCAACAATAACTCTTCACCGGCTGACACATCTCGCACTGTCTCGTATACAACCTGAAACATTTTCATTATTTTATTCATGTTCTTTAACGATTTTTTTGTGCAACTTCATTTTCAGTTTTTGAAAAAAATAACCGGTTACGAGTGATGACTGTAAAATTTTTCACTTTACGTTTCACCAATACGAGTTTGAAAATTATAGATAAATTGTTGAAATTGTACTTTTTGCAAAGTAAATTTAGTTTTTTGTACAAGTTGATTTGTGAACAATACAAAATGGTGAGGAAATATTGCAGGAAATTATCTCTTTAAATATTGAAGTTGTTAGTAAAATCGTGGTTAAATTTTTTTATCTAACAATTAACTACACTGAGACTACTTTGAATCTATTTTCAATCTGAATTAAAACTATTTTGAAACTAACGTAAAACTACTTTGAAACTATTTTAAAACGAAATAAAAACTACTGAAAGACGAAAGAAAAAAAAATATTTTATTAAAACTATAATGTTTGGCTAAATTCTTAATTTCTTTAGAGTGGGGTGGGATATATAAATTTATCTTGAAAGTATCATTACGACCCCAATGAGCGATCATGATGACATTCGACGCACTGATAGAGCGTTCCGTGCTGATCCATTCCGAGAAACTTTTGTCAGGAAACTACTGCCACGATAGATATGAGTTATATAGTTTCATGGGGGTGACTTAATAACTAAACGCTTTAGGGTACCACCCACACGACATTCGTGGCCATATGTGGCTTTGTTCACACCGTGACCAAAACTCTTCTTTCACATCGCAGTATACATATATTGTTTACTCGATAACCCCTTCATTATCATTACAACCAATTGCCTATATAAACTCTGTATAATTTTTTTCTCCAACAAAAGTGTACTGGAATTTTCATTCTACAAATTGCAACATTTTTTTTTGAAGAGTTTCTAAAGAAATTCGAACTTTTAACAATTCGAATTATTAAAAGTTTGAATTGTCGTAAAAAGCAATTTTTAAAATTTCAAATTATTAAAAGAAAATTTAAAAATGGCTATAAGCTAAATGTAAAAATATACTGCGATTATTTAAAAATTCAATTTATGAACCCTAAAAGAAAAGGAGAGTAACCAAATCCGCATGTCGTGCTTAAAATATCCCTCCCCTCCAAAAAAAGGTGACCAATTTCTCCGAATTTTTTGACATTGTGAAAATAAATATAAAAATTTCGAAATGGGCGCATATTGTACAATATTGTACATGAAATAAAATTAGTTGAAACCGATGGCGCGATGACTCGTGCCAAGGCAAATTCTGGCACAAAACTGATTAATTTTCATTGTGTTATTATTCGTGAAATTAGTCACAACTGACGTTTTTGTTAAACGTCAGTTGCTTTTTAGAGCAGATTGTAAATTACACTTCAATGCTCCATTGAGGCGCGCGCGTGTTCCACTCATCAGACTGGTACAAAATAGAAGTTAATAATAATTATCAGCATATAATATATGTATTTATATATTGATTATAATATAATAATAGTCCATGGCAAATTGAAACTCATTGATTCTGTATTGAATTTCCGTACAGTCAATTAAGTTATGGTCGTAGTGAATTATTCAAATTCTAATTACCTCTCCTCCAATGAGAACGTGTCGCATGTTGATAGTGTGTGGACTCGATGTACTTCTAATATACTTGAGCCAATTACTCGTTTCATGAGATGCATCAAACCATCCTCTCGCTCCACTTCCCGGAACTTTGACCTGCAATAAATATTTTCTTTATTCTTGTAACAACAATTGACAAAAATCATGAAAGCTAGTCTCAATTAGTAAACTAAAAGAAAAAAAGTCTGATTTGGCGTGGAATACATTATTTATTTATTTTAACATTTACGGCAATTTTCATTCTTTTTTTTTAATGTGTGGAGAGGCTAAACAGCAATTCACTTCTCGATGCGCTTTATATCCTAATTCGCGTATACATATACAGCATCTGGAGTTAGTTCCATGATCCCTGGGCTTTTAGGGCGAGTCAAGTGATTTTTCTAAATTGTCTTGTGGGCTCAGAAATTTCGCGATGCATGGGTAACCATGCGTTTCACCCTGATCCACCCCTTAGGACCACACTTCTTACTTCTCTGACCCTCTCAGCAACAACGATCATCGAATTTAATCGTTATCCTCACGCTCCCCACGTTTTCTTTGCACTTACTGACGCTTCGTTGACCGAGGATCACAATTTTAATGGAGTTCAGTTCTTGCTTAATTGGAAGTATCTCAATTCAATATGTGTATATACACACTTTATACCTACTATTAAATTTATCATCTCGGCAAATTGGTCATTCAACATTTTATTCTTCATGAAAATATAAATTCATATAAAATATGAATTTTTAGATCTAATTTGAAAAATATTAAAAACTTTTTCTCTTTATTTCAACGTTTAAATTTGGCGCCATTATTTTATAGTTTTCCGTTACATGGTTGGTACTAGTGTCAATTCATAAGATTCCTAACCTAAATCTTCGATTCGTTAATGTAATAAGGTCTCTTTTCTCAATGAGCGTCTATATGAAAGAAGAAAACTTTTTGTTTTACATGAGATAAATATTTCCAACAATACTCATTAACCCTAATATTGGTAGCTTAAATTTTCAAGAGCGGCTAATGAATACCACGATTCGTCACCGTCTGTCAAATTTGTGCCATTAAAATGTCAATGTATTGTCGATGATTTCAGCACGTTTCCACTTTTCCACGAGGGTGAAGATATAAACTACCGTATAGGGTGAGAATAATCAAAGTTTATAAGGGGAATCCATTCTGTGTAAACGGTTGCACTTGTACAAAATGACTTGCAGAAATTAGAAAAAAAATTCTTTTTTCCAAACCCAATATTTGTAATTCAAAAATAACATATAAATACATCCAATAAAGAAAATAAACCGAATAATCAATCGGAACTTTGGAAAATATTTTTCTCTGTAGATAAATGAGGTTTAAAATAATAATCTCGACAAATATTTTGTGGATGATCAAACAATAGATGGTTTCTCTCTTTTTTTGGGGCAGAGATAAATCTCAGATAATTTTCATGTTATCAGAGATCCATTAGACTTACGATATTTTCTACCTGTGTTGTACAAGTTCTACCACCTGTCGGGTCGTAGGAGGAACTATGGGGTGAGCATAAAAATCAATAAGATAACTCACAGGTGGATAAGTGCCATTAGGTTATGGTAAGTAATCTCGGTTACTGAGCCTCTCAGCAAAAGTATATTCTTCCAATTTTCTTTTTGAAAAACCTTTGCATGCACTTTATCCGCATACCTCTCCACAACTTAATCCGGATCGCATAAACCCGTCTCCCTCGCTCTGTCTCTTTAAAATAAACTTCCGAAAACATCGGGTGTAATCCTTGTCTAAAACTTATTCATGCTTCGACACTTTCTCCTTCAACTTTGTTTCATTCAGGAAAAAAAATATTCAATTCAGAAAATATTTTTAGAATGAAAAAAGAGCCTCAATTTTTTGTATATATTATATCTTTTTTTACTGACAATACGAGATTCTTGTTTATTTTTCTTCTTTTTTTGAGAGATTCTATGAAACGCGAATTGAATTTTCTTTTTAATGTAATAGTCAAAATTCTTTGGCTTGCATTCTGCCAAAAAAATAATTCGAACAAATAAAAATTTGGCTAAAAGAAAATTCAATCTGATGAAATTGTATAAAATAAAAATTTTAACAAATAAATTTTAGGGATTCTTCATGTGTTTCTTTCGATGTCGATAAAGAAAAACACTTCTAAATCTTGAATCTTTTAATTCCTCTCATTAATAATTAATCGAAAAGAGAAGATACTTATGAAGAATATGATGGGATTTTTTTTTAAATTTGCTGAAGCCGAAATTCATGACTTATTGGACCGTATTTGTGCGTCGCAGGTCCATTACCAGATTTTAGAAGCAAACAACACTGTGGTGTCAGGTAGTTTGGTCGAAAAACTCGTAATGTCCCACGCGTGCAGACAAAGTAATATGTATAGTATATATACAATTTTTGTGAACGAGAAGAAAAGTGACAAGCAAGACGATTTGCCCTGGGCAATAATGGATCCCAGCTACTGGGGGACACTAAGAAGTATTTCTAGGAGATGGGCACGAACCCTGCACACAATAAGAAGAATCCACGGGTTACACGACAGATTAGAATCTATATACATCCCATCACACCTTTCAACAATGATACCTTAAATCACCGTTTATTTGTCAACGAATGAAAAAAGAAAATCATCACTAAATCGAGTGTCATGTGACATTAAAAAATGGCACAAACTGACATTTTTTTCTAATTATAAATGCAAAGTTTGTTTAATATTCTTTAAAGAGAAAACAAATGTTTGTTGTTTACTGAAAATTAGGTCAAATGTCGATTAGGCCAAATGAAAAGTAGGTCAAGTGGTGATGAGGCCATATAAAGATTAGTTCACAAAAGAATAGGGCCAAAAAAATATCAGTTCAAATAAGAATTTGCGGATATATTATGATTGTGATAATTGATTTTAGTCTACTTAATCATTAGGCTATTTAAAATTTGGAAAAAATTCATGCGCATTTTTAAATTTAAAATTAATTGATCAACAATGGAAAAAAGTGCGTAGTTTACAGAATATCGTCTCTCTTTTGTTGTTGTGTCGCGAACTGTGAGAAATTTCACACGTGATCTGGAAATAAAGTATATAGATGATTGGTGAAGTGAAATTGGTTTTGAACAACGCGTGACGAAGAGATTTTTCCTTTTTTCCATCTTTGTATGAATGGAAGAAGAAGAAGAAGAAGACGTTGAGGACGAACGCCGCCTTTAAATCTTTCACAGCAGGAAATTTTTCACTTTGTCGGCACGTGTGGACATGTGCGGACAATTCGTGTGGTAGATTTGTCGCTATAAGGAAATATATTTTGATAATGCTTTTTTTACTTCTCAGTTTCGAAAACGGATAGATATGACAATTGAGTGTCAAGAAAAAAAAAATGAAAAAAACTGTCGTAAAATGAGACACGCTTTCATCTCGATGTTATAGTCGGGACAACACTCTGCAAAATCATCAGGGATTACCTTCCGATTTAATGGGATCGCATTTATTCCCCTTTATAGAAAGATTTCATTGACTTGTGCCGCCCTTTATCAAAATTTGTTGTTAAGAATAAGTTTCACGGAAAATTGATTAAAGGTTACGACAAAGAAGTTAAATTTAAATCAGTCTTTTTAAAATTCTCTAAATTTATAATTATTCTTCTGATTCTATATAATTCTTTAGATGTATTAGTTGCTATTTAAACTTATCCTTTACTATTATTTTGAAAAAAAGGCAAGGGGTTATAATTAAAATTTCCAGTTAGAATTTCTTTCTAACAGATGAAAACTGAAATACTGCGAAAAATGTGTCAGAAACAGATTTTCGAGCATTCTTCCTTCTGACCTTATCTGCTTTAACGCCTCTATTGTGGGCCTTGTTGAAAGGAAAACTAACAGAGGATGCTTCCACGAAGATGAGCTCCGGCTGGGCCAGTTGTCAAGAAACATAGATCTATATCCCTTTTGTCAAAATCGTTGACATCTCAATTTTTTTGTTACAAACAAGTTTTACGTCTCTCTTGTTAAAAATTTCAAATTATTTGCTTTCTATGAAAAAAGAGTAAAATTGGTTTCCGCTAAAATATAGCTTTGAATAATTATAATAAGTTTTAATTTTTATTTTATTAGAATTCGGAGACGCATTAATAATGTCTGAAATTAATTTGATAGAATTTTTATTTTTCAAAATTTGTATTTGTCCGAACTATTTTTTGCCAGAATTTGACCGATTTTTCATTCACTCAATTTATACTGTCATATGGAGGTTATTTGTTCAAAAACAATTAAAAATGAACTGACAATTTATTACCCATGTTCTTTTGTCAATAAATCTTCTGATGTGAAAAATTGCTCGAGAAATCAAAATAGAATGTTGATGGTACAAAAAAAAATTTATTATAACATCACATTTTCTAGAGGGGGAAAAATGGGACTTTCCGGACAATCAGGACATGCGGTCGAGTAATCTTGTTCGACCTAGGCGATGCAAGGACGCACTCGGTTACAAAACACATGATCGCCTCCTTTGTAACCTCACACCTTCAACAAAACCGATCTGTCGAAAGGTTTTTAGTGGGGCATCCGCGTTTACAGAAAATGCCGAAAATGGGAAACGAAAAATCTTCACTACATGCGATGCTTTGCTGAAAACTAGGAAACTTTTTCAATAATAGTCCCTTATAATCGGCACATAACGTTCCGAGTCGCATCATTGTGACTGAGAGCTCAGTGCAAATCTTTCCAAAATGCGGGTGAATAATATAACCTTTCACGATTGTCATCTCTTCTTCTTTTTCCTTTTAAAACGGAAATTTCCTTCAACATATTCAAATTCTCGTATTTTCTATACAAGTTGTAGAATAATTAGATGCATTATAATAGTTATAGTTGTTCACAAAGGAATTTAAACTTGAAACGGAAATTAATTTTGCTTTTGACTGAAATTTCGTTTAATAAATAAATGGTTATTTAAACAAAATTTCATTTAGGGTCGGTTTTGGATTATTTATTAATCAAGACTTTAATCATGATCAAGTTCAACTTTTTGCCTGAGAAGCTAACAACACTTTTTCAAGTTATTATCTTGGCGATATCGAGAGGAAAGTTATATGAATAAAACG